GCGTCGCCACGCTTCTGCTTGTCGTCCTTAGGAGGGGGAGGAGCAGTGGTGTCCTTCGGGGGAGGAGCGTCACCGCGCTTCTCCTTGTTGTCCTCCGGCTTAGGAGGAGGGGGGACCTGAGTGTCCTTGGGGGCGGGAGGAGCATCGCCACGCTTGTTCTTATCACCGTCCTTGGGAGGAGGGACCTGGGTGTCCTTAGGAGGAGGGGGGACATCGCCACGCTTGTTCTTGTCGTCGGTGGGCTGAGGAGGAGGCACCTGAGTGTCCTTAGGAGGGGGAGGGATGTCGCCACGCTTGTCGTGCGGCACAGGGAGGTCAGTCGGAGCGCCAGGAGCAGGAGACTGGATGTCGGTAGGGCGAACACCCGGAGGGGCAGCGGACACAAGTCCGGCAACCATCATGGTAGAGAGAATGGCGGAGACCTTCATCTTGATAGATTGAGAAGTTCAATGGATTGAATAGAAGTGTGATTGTTCTGAGTGTTGTTGAGATTGGATTGATGATGAGAAGAAAGCACTTAGGCAGACCGGACAGCCCTCTTTATATCTTCATGACAGATGATAGATCTCAGTCTTGACTCCTATTCTGGCACCATCACACTTGCCCATGACGAGGCAGTATGTGACAGTTCGTGCAGTCGTCATCAGCGTTTCCAGGCTGAAGGCTGACGACGAACGATCGTCCGGAGACCATTGAAGAGCTAAAGTCATGGCATTACGAAAACAGTGGATCTCGATCTTGAGCACAATTTCTCCAGCCTTCGATTGGAACATCCGCTCCTATTCTTGTGACAGATATGTCGCCATTGGATCAATGTGGAGAGGGAGCTAAGCCTCGCCCTACGTGTCGTAGCGTCAATTTTGACGAAAGCTGTTGTCTTGCGTATTCCGGAGCACTTTGTGTTTCGAATATTGCATCTGAGCTGTATAATGCAATTGTCGAAACGTCCACCGGGGATCGCGCGAGCATCACCAATAATGAGCGATTCTTCCATCAGCATTTTCGAGAACGCGAGGCCTGGTTCCCAATTGGGCATAGGTTAAGGACCTAAATTTAGCTTTACGTAGCGGCAACGAAGCTTAAATTCTTGGCATGCCGATCACCTGCTGACACATCGGAACTCGTGAAACTTCCGCTTCCGAGATATCAGATACACCACACTCACACACTGCACGGAGAGATCGACAACTGTTTGCGCAGCCGCCTCGATTGTAGCTGCCTGGACGGCCGATGTGGACATGGCCAGGCCCGAAAGAGTGAGAAGGATTTCCTACCGCTCAAATATGGGGTAAGCTTGGAAATGATAGCCACTGGTTGGGGAACTCGTGGCACTGCTAGTTGACTGATTTGCTAATACTCATCCAGAAAACAGATAATAGCGGTCTTTCTATATCAAAGTGTCATTAAATCATCATCATCATCATCATCATCATCATCATATGTTTTTGGCCTCTACTTGATATGAAAGCCTTGGAAGGATCCTTTCTCCGGAACTCGAATCCCGCTTACTATTCCTACCCCATAAAACAATCAAATGCCTGGTACTAACAAACAGCTACGGATGCCAAGTCGAAATTGGCGTGAGACTAATTAAAGTACCGGCGTCGTCGTCACTAGCGTACACTCAACAGGAAAGTTTAAAAAAAAAACACCGCTGAGCCATGTGCTAGACACCGGCATTTAACCGAATAAGATCCGGAGCTCATCACGCTATCTTTATCCGTGCAGATCTTAATATCGCAGGCACAGGGCTGGCTCTTACAATGCTAATTGAGTACCTTGTTGCTCGATCAGGAGATGGGTTGTCGAAGCAGCGCCACAAAGATACACTTGGCATTCCGGAGAAAAGGAGAAGGCCAAGAATAAGCACTGTTCACGTTCGACAGCCAACCGTTTGCACGAGTAGCGCCAAGTCATGGCTAGCCTCTCAACATATTTAGCTTCTGTCAATGCTGGCTTTGGTTCCTCGCAGAATGCGTTGAGGACTCGAGAATCAGGCTGATGATGCTACATTATGGCATTCCATTCCATGATCAAAACATTCTCGCACTTCCAGCTGCGCTGTTATTCGTAGTAAAGGCTTAAATGACTTTGCGAGAATCATCGAAGATTCCAACTGTGTGCTCTTGCGATCAACTCGCTTCATGGTATTTTAGGAGGGTGAAGAGAATCCCATCTCCGTTTGCTTTAGGCTTGCTAGCATGATGTACATAACATATAATTTGAATGATAGAACTTGACTACTGTGTCTGTTGATTTTCCTCGATTTGTTAAGATAACGCTCACATCGTGTCGAGATGACTTGCAACATTTGAACTCGTACAGTACAAACGAAACTTCCAAGTCAAATTTCCTAGCCAATATAACAAGGTATTCATGCATAAATAACATTAGAGCTTTGAAGTCAAGTCTACATGTGAAGGAAGCGCCACCTTTCACTATGCATAATTAATGTGTTACCATTTATATATCGGTTCCCGAGCATGATGAACGGATAGTAATCCTTTTAGCCCAGCGATATATATATATATTCAAGGTGGTGGGTATAACAACCAAGTCAACATGAAACGACATCGCTACCATTTTGTACCTACCACTCATTCTTGATTAGTATCTGGAGAAGTTGATTTTATTTACCCATGATAATCGACCTCGGCTAGAAATATCTACCATCATGCCACTTCCCGAGTTCATTTGGAGCTCATGGTTTTCCAAATTCCAAGAAACACGCGCAGTTTAGACCTATCTGCATTGCATGATCCACTAGAGTGTCTTTTCCATCATCGATACTCATGACAATTTCAATTCGCCACGGCCGATCAATTGGCCTCGATTTCTGATGGGGTTTATGCTGCATTTTCTGTCTCAATACCCGGTTTGTATCGCGGGAAAAATGTCTATGCCTTCCTCCTCGTCCAAATGTTACGTGGCTGCATTAGAGTAATCAATAAATCAATATTATGTATGTTTCTACGTTCCCCTATACCAACGACTAAAGCCTAGGACCGCTACCAACATAATCATTCTATCAACATCCTTCCGCTAAAACACTTCCTTTTTCTCAATCCCTCCCAACATCATACACAAAAAAAAAAAAAAAAAAAAGAGTCACAAAGTACTAGTGCTAATGTCGATCGCGCAAGCAGCACCAATGACCTGCGATGCTTCCATCAGCCTCTTCAAGAACGCGAAAGCCTGGTTTCCAATTCAGGAAATTCAGCAGGACGCAGCGTCAACGAAGCTTATTTTCTCATGCCGATCACTTGCTGATACATCGAAACTTGCCAAAGTTGCGACATCAGAGGCCTCGTAATGGGTGAGATGTCAAACCTACACAAGAGGTACAACGATGTCTAGCCCTGCACGGAGTACCGTACCTTGAACAAACAATCCTCTGCCATTTGCTAACTATCAATGACAAGAAACAAACGGGCTCCACTATAGGGTGCCAAGTCGGCACTGGCATCTACCGACATCCCATCACTACACTAGTACTAGTTCATAGCAGTACTCCGTACTTTACTCATACCAAGAGCCTCATCTCAACACCTCCAGTGGCCATGTAACTGACACCAGCAAATAGTTCACCTATCAATATCCAAACCTCGTTACTCTATCTCCATCCCATGCAGATCCAAATATCGCAGATTGCACAGGGCTGGTTCCTACAATGTTCCTTGCTCAATCGGGAGACGAGCAGCACCATAAGGATACATACGGAGTACTATGTAGTACACTTGGCATTCCGGATAAAAGGAGAAGTTTAGAATGAGGTCAGAGTTGGTTGCGTGAGTGCAGCCAAGTCCCGCTAGTTTCTGGGGCAAGTCCGGCCATATTCGGCTTTGGTTCTTCGGAGGACGCGTTGGGGAGTCGAGGATCAGGCTGGAGGTGTTATGGTAATGGAATTGCTGTCCATGATATGATTGATTGAAACATTCCCGTATCCTCTTGGCCGGGCTGTTCATTCGTAGTAAAGGCTCGAAAAGGACCTTGGAAAAATCATTAGTCCAACACTTTGCGTCCATTATTGCCGAGATGTGACATACACCGTTTCGTTTAATTTCCCTAATCAGCCTCTATAATACAGCACAATTAAGACTTCCAGGTCTGACACAACAAGGTACTGCTATGCATAATTGAGGAATTGGACCAATCGGCCTGCCTCAAAGTACGCATACGTACTACATAGGCTGTATGTATGCAATTCCCTGACATGAATTGTCTCAGTTAACATTGAAGCCTTGGAGACTCAAGTCAACATACAAGTAAACTGTCATTGCTACCGTGTGGCTGTGCCTGCTGAGTTGGGACTGTCGATCTGGGCTCGATTCTCGATGGAAACCATCTTGTTACGTGATGCATTGGGATAATCAATACCATGTCATAATTCATTCATTCAGACTATCTTAAGATTTGACCAACATCAACGACTAAAGCCTAGGACTGCTTAACCAACATCAGAATCATTCTATCATTTTTGCTTGCTATATCTCTCAAGACAATCCCTCCATCATAAAAGTACACACAATGAGAAAGAAAGAATATCACCCACTAAGCAGCCAAAAACTTCGCCGCATGCTCAACATGGTCATCCGCAAACGAAGCCATCGTATAATAACTGTGATCGTAATCAGGCTGGTACCGCACATTCACGCCCTGAATGCCAGCCTCCGACACAGCCTTTTCGAAGTTCTCGGGGAGAAGCTGGCCTTGTTTGTAGAAGTTGTCGCCGGTTCCCTTCGTTTATTAGCATTGTCTTTTTAACAACGAGGAAGGGGATTGGTAAGGGGGGCAAAGGGAACGTACGACATCAACCAACGCATTCAACGGACCAGACCACTTCTTCACAAGCTCAGTGGCATCATGCTCCTTCCACTTGGCCTGCTGGTCGTCGCCAAAGTACCCGTTGAACGCCTTCTGGCCCCACGGGCAGTTAATCGGGTTCGAGACGGGAGCGAACGCGGAGACGGATTTGTATTTGCCGGGGTTGCGCAGGAACTATTCATTACATCCCCATGTTAGCGTCTCTTCCTCCCCCCCAAATCTCAATAACACAGGACCGAGGTGAAAGGCATACCAAAGTAAGAGCCCCATGCCCCCCCATACTATGCCCCGTAATGCTAACCCGCCCCTCATCGATCTGCTGGAACGCCGCAAACACAGTCTTGGGCAGTTCCTCGGTAACGTAGGTGTACATGTTGTAGCCGTTGTTGTAGGGCGCCTTGGTAGCGTCGACGTAGAAGCCGGCGCCGGAGCCGAAGTCGTATGCGTCGTTTTCGCCTTCGATGTTTAGGCCGCCTTCACACAATCATTCATATTAGTATCAGGGTTCGTTTACTTTGAGCCGAGGACCATGGTGGTAAGGGAAGGGGGAAGGGAACGCACGAGGACTCGTATCCGGATACAACACCGCAATCCCATGCTTACTAGCACCATGCTGGAAGAAGCCCTTCTCAGAGCAATTATCCGCGGTACACGTCAAGCCAGACAAGTAAATCAGGAGCGGGATTTTCTGCGACGACTGGGCTTGCGGGGGGAGGAAGAGGTTGAAGTTCATTTCGCATTTTGTGGAGGTCGCATCGTGGCTGAGTTTGAGCAGTTTGCCGCCGAAGGAGGCGATTGTTGCTTTGGTTGTGACGGACATTTTCACTGCCAATTGTATGTAGGCTGAGTAGATTGTAGGTTGAGTGGTGCAATTGAGGATGGTGCGGGTGGAATAAATAATGACGGATGAGGGGAAGCCATGAGGGGCAGCGGTTATATAAGATAACTCGATTGAGCAATATTTCCCGCGCTCTGCGGAGAGGATTATTACCTTGTAGGATATGACAGGATAAAGAACTACCATTTGAAGAAAAAGAAGTACATTATGCAGCTTCTCCAATTATGCAAAAATTACACTCGCCATGCATGTACCGATCCCACAACGCCATCCCAATCAGACCCCATAACACCATACAAAGCAAGTAAAGTCTACTCCAAAAACACAGAAGGAACACCATAAATAACCGGCGCAGCCCCATTCAAATACCTCAACACACACGCATCCCTCGACTGACAAACCGCCTCATCCAAAGCCACCGCACCACCCCTCGGGGACCGAGACCGAGACCGAGCCCGTCCCTTACTCTTCGAATCACCCTCACCCTGACCACCAATAAGACCCCATTTCTCAAACGTAGCCTGCGCAAACCGATCAATGTCCTTGTCGGTCACGTCCCAGAGCGTCGCTACGAGTGCCGGACTACCGGCTTGTAGGTAGTTCATTGGTGTGCCGTATGGTTCGTACTCGCCGGCTTCGGTCAGGGTGCCGCTGCTGCAGCCCATTAGGAAGGCGACTGCGCAGCGGTCGAGACGCTTGATGGTTCGGCCGCGGATGTATTGGGCGCCGCTGCCGTGGCCGAAGTAGAGGAATAGGCTCTTGGTTTCGAGGGCTTCGCGGAATTCGTCTTCGGATGGTTGGCGGTTGACGATTCCGTTCCAGCGGTCCATGCGACTGAGGTCGGTTTCGAAGGTTGCTTGCGTTGTTTGCAAGTCACCTGTGGGATTGAGGATGTAGGTACCGTTCTTGCGGTCAATAGCCAGTCGAGAACTGTCACCCTGCTCGTTTCGGAATCGGACAATACGGTCACGCAGACACTCCAACGATGGTACACGACAAACAGGCGATCCCTTCAGACAAGGAAGCGACTCCCACGGGAACAGGTGGAGAGCCTTATCGAGAACCAGGACAGTGTGATTAGTTTGCGGGTTGACCGACTCGTTCCGCACAGTATCGTGGTAGCCCCTCAGAGCATCAAGCGTTTCCACAACCATCATATCAAAGTCAATCTCGTCATAGGCGTTGCGCTCTCCCTGGAACTGCAGGATATCGACCACGAAGTAAAGAAGATCCATCAATGTCTCTTCCGGGTCCTCATGCTCCTCTAGATCCTTAATCCCAGTAAACAACTCAAGCACGTTACGGTGAAGCGTCAACTTCGGACCCGTTGTCGACCGACCACCCTTCTGGCGCGATGGAAGATGCTTGTCGAGGACGTTATGGAACGAGCTGGCAAACCGTGACAATGCATCACCCTCTCTCGCCACAGGCGAGAAGATACCCTTGAATCCACCGAACCAGACATTCTCAACATTCTGCAGCAAGGTCTCCATCCGACGGTCAAGCGCTTCGCGGTTCTTCCACCACTGCTTTTTCATCTGCTTGTCGACTTGAGCCTTCGCAGCATGCGCACTCTCGTTGGCCAGTTTTATTAATTCTTGCATCTCTTCCCGACCGTCTTCGAAGGTAAACTGCCCCTCGTCATCCTCGTCCGAGTTTCCTCTCTTCAGTGGAAGACGCAACAGGAATGGTGTTTGGCCCTTGCGTAGACGTGAAACGACGAATTCCGTACAGTCCGCACTCAACGATAGTGAAAGAACGTTCCAGCTATCGGGCAAAATGTCGACATATTCTTTCGTAAAGTTCGAGCAGAGATCATCCTCGAGATCCACCGGCGACGACAGAGACATTGACGGCCATAGCAGCGGGTCGTTGGCGTCTGCCAGATGTTTGTCGAGATCAATCGCCACGCGCTCACGGTTGAAGGCGCCAATACGACCAATTTCTGGACTTGTCAGCATAATTCACTGTTTGAAGTGAGCTGAAGGGGCTTACCATTAACATTAGCCGGCGCCTGAGACCACGGCGTCGAACAACCAGGTGCAGTAGTCTGCGACAGCATAGAAATCCGACTCATCAACCTCGAAGCCGCATGACTGTCAAGCGTAGATCCAAGCGTCGTAGCAGTACCGAAGATATTGTTGAGACACTCGCCTGCCTTGGACAACATATCGGCAAAGTCCTCACTAGCTTTCGGGGTCTTGGAGCGCGTGCCTCGGGCGGGTGCTCGTGTTTTGCGTACGGTGAGTGGCTTGGCGGAAGGCGCAGGGGGTTCCTCGGTATTCTTCTTCGGTGACTCGAGTGATGGGAGGGAGATGGTCGACTCTGGAAGCACACAGTATACCGCATGGGTAGCGAAATGGCGAATGGCATCGGCGAGTAGGTGCTCACTTTCTCCGATGTGCAGCGAGATCTGGCTATCCCGAGAAAGAGCATACTGTCGTGCGTCGCTGAGCAAGTTCGTCGCGTTGTCGAAGTCGCGCAGTGCTCGTGAGCAGTCGGCCTGGTGTCTAAGGAGGTCCGTTCGCAGTTGCAAGAGAGACTTCGATTCCACGGTAGACGGTTCCACGGTGGGATTCGAGGTCTTCCTAGAAGTAGTCCGTGCAGACGAGGATACTGCACGTGTGCTCCGCGTGGTAGTAGTTGCCGGCTGTCTCGTCCTCCGTGTACCAGTAGCGCTCCGAATGCGCAACTTATCCATCTTATCCTCCAGATCCGCAACAGCCGTCGGCGAAGTCTCCGTCTCGGAAAGAATGACCTCAGACATAATCTTATCAGCCTCAAGAAGCGCACGATGCTCCTCGCGGTACTGGCCCATTGCCCGATGGAGAGAAGCAAGACCCATTTGCAGTGAGACAAGCTCAATACTGCTGTCCAGCTGCTTCGCCAACGTTGCAGCAGAGTCCAGGAGCTGCTGTCCCTCCGATGCACGTCCACCATAGATCCAGTGAGATCCAAGCTGCGTTTGAGAAGCGACCAGACGGACATTAGCATTGAGCGTCTTGTTGACCTTGAGCGCTTGCTCTCCGTAGTAGATCGCATCTTGGAAAAGACCGTGGTGTGCGGACAGACTCGCGAGATTCAGTAGAGAGGTATGGTGAGAGCCAACGTGAGGCCAGAATGGCGCTCCCTGGAAATAGCTGACAGACGGCTCCGTCGAAATTGCTTGTGAGACATCGAGCTTCGCGACTCCTTCGACAACACTATCAATCTCGGTACTGCTGCTTGCTTGCAAGGCCTTGCCCTGCTTCCGTTGAGCAAGCTTCTCAATCTTAGCCCAGATGCGACAGTTCAGTCTCACAGACAGTTTGGCGAAGAATAATGCGTGCGTAATAGATCCCTGGGCAAAGGAAAGCCGCGAGTTGATGAATGCCGCATCCGCGACCAAACGCTCCCAGGCAATCTTCGAAAGAACAGAGCAGTTATTAAGGTCCTGCTGTTTCTGGTTCTTCTCATAGAGCGTCCTGGCTGTCGCGAGGATACCAGCAGCTTTCTCAATCTCTCCGGTCTCAAGAAGATACTCCCCTCGAGCCAACTTATACGATAGATTTGCCAGACAAGAGACCTCGTTGTTACGCAGACACTGGTCCGCACGGATAAGTAAACCACTAGCCTTCTTGCAGTGTCCAAGTCGACAGTACTGCAGCACCAGTCGCGAGAGAACGACGATCGCTTCGGAAAAGTCGCCTGATTCTTGCAATTCTGTCACGCGCAGGACCAGTTCCAGCGCGGAGAGCTGCACTTTCCATAGTCCGTGGATCTCGGTATAATCGACAATAGCCTTGAGTTGAAGAATCCAGTAATCGACATCGATGACGCGCGACCCAAGCGAGTTCCAATCAGGGCAGTCTGCCACCATGGAGCTCCACGACGAAATGATCTGGTTAAGCTCGAAGGGTTGCAGATTGCCTTGGTGAAGTCGAACGGTGAGCTGTAGGGCGTTCCGAATGTGTGTCGCATAAGCGGACAGCTTATAGTCGTTACCAAAGGACCCATCCTCGTTGAAATCGGCACACTCGTCGACAATATTCCCAAGCACCTCAGGTTCCAAAGCACTCGGACGTTCAAGCAGGAATCGCATAGCGCACAGCATAGCCCGCATACGGCGAATGGGGTAGGTTGCGCAGGAGTAGATGTCAAGAAGCTTAGAGACAACAGAGCTGAATGTGCCGCGGAAGACCTCATCACTGTAAGCATGCGCATGCAGCTCGGTAAGAAGGCCCATCTGCCATTCGAGAACAAGTCCTTGTTGCTCTAGCCCCAACTCCTCATTATCGAACACTTGCGATTCCGAGTTCTTGTTCCGCAGCTTCATTCTCATATACCCCGAGATAGCACGACCGAGCATGAAACCACCGGACTTGGGATCTTGAGAAGCGCGATGCGGATAGTTCCCGGCAGCATCAACAGCAACTTGTTCCAGAGCGCCGGCGTCGATGTGTTCGCTAATGGACTGACAAAAAGCCTTGTCGGATTCGGCTCCCATATTCCCATCCATGTACAGATGCGCAAGTCTCTCGTACTTGAGAGCCGCAAATCCAGTATTCCGCTGCGAAGACGAGCACCCAGAAATCAGACTTGTCGAATGTTTCAAAAGTGGCACAAGCGAACGGTAGTCCTTCCCACACTCCTTTTCCTTAATGTATCGAGACCAGAACAGATTCGACAACTTCACAAGTCCCATGCCGCTATCAGAGTCCGAGTTCTTCGATGCGATTCCGATAGTCATGAGAAGGCGCTGACAATCGACCAGAATCGAAAGCATGTCGTCCCACGGCGGGCTCTGCGACATAACTGACAGTTTACCCATGGCAACTGCTGAATCGATAGCTGCCAGGATGATGTTCTTGCATGCAGTGACCCGCTTCTCGAATGTCTCGTGTTCCTTCGGGTCGCTGTCTTCGGAGGGTTGACGTCCAACGTAGCGGCGCAGGAATCGTAGAAAGCCGTAGAGGTATTCGCGTATCCGATCCGGAATGTCGTCTGGCACACTCTTGCCCTTATCCTTGGTGACTGCGTCTCCTAGCCAAGCCATTGAGATCTTCTTCAGCTTCGCTGCCTCCACCAAAAGTTCGTCCAAGTCGCCGGCGCTGCCCTTGAGCTGCAAGGCCAGTGCTGCCGAGGCGTCTGATACAGCACCTGCGATTTCACCGTGGGCAGACTTCGAAGACTTGATGCGCTGAAATTGAAGCGATGCAATCTTGCAGCGCACCGTAGCCAAAGAAAGACACTGTCCCTCTGACAGGGGGTTAACAGCCTCTGTGAACAGTTTCAAAGCTTCCTCCACGCACTCTGCGTCCTGAGCAAGCTGCCCCAGAATCGTTGCAATTCGCGCCACGGAATGGAGTTGCGTGGTGGACGATTTCCGTTCCGGCTTCGCAATGGCGGACTGAAGTCGAACGATTGTTTTGTATAACACGGCGAACTCGGATTTCTCGATTCCCTTGTTGTGGTGGGCGAAACTTGCGAGGTAGCGTGATAACGGGTCCCAGAGCTCTTTTCCTTCGTCGCAGATGTGGCCGGACAGTTTCCATCCCATACTTCGCATCTCCATGGACAGCAGCTGCAGAGTGAGAGTTGTGATCGGTCGTAAACGGTCCTTCGTATCGTCGGTTTGCTGGGCGGAGGCCATGGAAAGAACGGTGTTTGATAATAACTGCAACTGAAGCGCAGCCTTGTCCTTGGTAAGACTCCCAGCCTCCACCGCAGCCATAATCGCCATACCCGGACTACTCGAGTCAGACAATTGCATTGCCGAACAAACCTTCTGCGTAGTCGCCGGTCGTTTCTCAGCGGCAAGTAACCGCAGCGCATTCGATTGAAACGTAATGAGCAGCCCAAGCACGGCTTTCGCATTCCCAAAATTCGCAAAACTAAGCAGATCCGACATCCGCTCTTTCGCCTCTTCCTCCTGCGCAGTCGTCTTCCTCGCCCCGCCCGCAGTCTTTTTCGACCCAACACTATCCAGATAACTCTGTATCCTCCTCTTCAGCGCCCGCAGCTCCTTATACGCCAACTCATTCAGACCAAGAGACAAGTACCTCCCCGCAAGCACACAAGCCCCCTGTTCAAGCTGCGTGTTCAACCCCTGCTCATCCTGCCCTTGTTCGCTCTTCAGCGATCGTAAACACGACAGCGCTGACCGTGCACATTCTGCTACTGAGAGCAATCCCTGGTCTACTGCGGTAGCGTCGGGTTGTGTGTATTTCGATAATCTCGACTTTTTCGGCGATCGACCAGCGTTATTCGGCGAAGTGAGTTGAAGGGGTGTCGAGGGGGGTCGGGGGTCGTTCTGGCGTTTCGAAGAGGATAGTTTAACTGCATCTGACAACGTCTTTAACGTGGTATTAAACACCTCAGTAGCAAGCACGAGCTGCTCATGAGCTGATAACCGCGCCTCCACATTCAGTGTTGTTGTTGTTTTCGTAGCCCGGGATGTCGCTCTGCCGCGAGTCGCACTCGTTGTCGTTTCTTTCGTACTCCGTCCTGCCCGTCTCGATGTAGCACTGCCATCTGTCTCTGTCGCTTTCGATCCACCCCGAAACAGACCCTGGAGAGAGAGCAGTGTAGCGTTCGAGCAAGTCGCTGTTGACCGGACGGCGAGCTTCACCGATTCCACGGAGGAATCGGAGGGGAAAGTTGTTACCGCCATTATATTAGTTAGTATATAAGGATTAGACGGGTCGTATGGCCATTCGCATAGAATATTAAGGCAGGAGGAGATGTGGATGTAATCAATCACGGGTCTATCACTGCAAGACGACTCCCTCCGCCGCCAAGACGAGACACAAACGCTGTTGTCGCGGTAACACACCGCGCTATACCCGATCTGGACCGGGGGTAGTCTCCGATGCTCCGATCGTGCGGCAGTTTCAATATGAATTCATCGTTGAAAGATTCAATTCCCCAATAATAAAACACACACGACAATGGCTCTCAATACGCAATTCGCAAGACTTCCCCTTCGATCCCTCCGCCATGCCCATACCCCAATCCTCCGCAACAGGCTCCTCGCCCGCCCAACAATCCAAATCCGCCCCCGCTCAACCTACACATCCGAATCCATGCCACGCATAGCCCAAACCTCCGTCTGGACGTCCATGATCCCACCCTTCATCCGGCGCCTCGCCCGCGGCGGCGGCAAATCCGATGCCCCCGAATCCAAAGAATGGAACCCAGCCAGCTTCTACATAATCATCTTCATCCTAATCGGCTCGCAGGCCATCCGGATGATGATGCTAAAGAAAGATTACGCGGCGTATACGAGGTCCACGGATGCGAAGATTGGGTTGTTGAGGGAGGTTATTGAGAGGGTGAAGAGGGGGGAGGCTGTTGATGTAGAGAAGTTGTTGGGGTCTGGGGATGCGGCGAAGGAGAGGGAGTGGGAGGAGGTGTTGCGGGAGATTGAGGATGAGGATTCGTTGTGGCATCAGAGAGTTTCTGCGAAACAGGCTGGACAAGCTGAACAAGAGCAGCGAGGGGGTGTTGATGCGCCGAAGGAACCGGTTATTCCTGCTGAGGGGGAGGGGAATACGGAGCCTCCGAAGGATGGCAGTTCGAGACGGAAGTTGAATTTCTTCTAGGAGATTCAACCTCTTGGACCTGTACAACAATTTACCGCATAGACTCCCTCGATAGGCAGTTGAAGATTAGCAAGGTAAGTACTTGCACATCATTCTTGGGGCATACATAGTTAACAATCAGCCCAGGTGATGTACGATTATCGTGATATGATGTTGCATACGCTCAGCCCTCCCTCAATAAAAACATTTACTCTACTGTATATATCCTCGATACCCAAATCAATCTATTTCCATTTATTCAATCCATTGAAGTGAAATCTCAAAAGAACGTACAACTTAAGCCCAAACACTTCCCTTCATCCCCTCAAATATATAAAAGAAACCGAAACAAAACGAAACAAAAAAAAAAAAAAAACATCACACCATATCAAACGACATCATCGCAGCGGATCTACCAGTCGATTGCTCGCGCTATAACTCTATTGTCGTCGTTCATCGAACTAAAGCCCTGCCCTGCCCTCGATATCATTGGGATTTGATGAAGTGCGTTTACATGATCTCACAGCCACCGCCGGGAGAAGCTATCATCACAAACATATTAGCATCATTCCTTTTCAATCAATATCAAACATAACCAGAAGGAGAAAAGAAAGGGAAAGGATGTTGGGGAAGGAAGAACTAACCCTTCATAACACTGCACCCACCACCAGGCGAAGCCTTCATAACATTGCATCCACCGCCAGGAGAAGCTTTCATGAGAACGCAGCCACCGCCGGGAGAAGCCTTCATAACATTGCAGCCACCGCCGGGGGAAGCTATCACAAACATCATATTAGTATCATTCAAGCGCATGACCTAAAATAGGACGATGGCAGAAGGGGATGGGACTCACCCTTGCGGACACCGGAGTTCTTAGCAGACATTTTGTAGATTGGTAGATTGGTTAAGCGTGAGCTTGAAAGTAGAGTTGTAGTAGAGTTGTTTGGAGGAGATGATTGTTGATGATGATGAGAGAGAGTATTGAGTTGGGATTCGAGGGGGCTTTTATGTGCTTCGTCTGTCTCTGTCATCGTTCATGGACGGAGGTAGAGGGAGGGAAGGATAATGGATTCTCGTTTCCATTCCCATTCTTTCTCTCGTTCTCAATCTCATCCCATTCTCAATCTCAAAGTGAATCCAAGATAGACGAGGACAATACTAAGCACCCCGATTCAACACCACCATCAACGAACCAGAAGAATGACTTGCATTGACACTACCTTACCCTACACTAACCCGAATAATACCGATCCAAATCCAAACTCCGATTCAACTGTAGAAAATAATATTGACATGCATACGGAGTACAACAATAACAAGTGGGCCCATTCACGCCGCTTGATATTGTTCTCGACACATAGTTGACGGGTCTCTTTTCTGCCGTGTCTTTGTTTGGTGGGAAGGTTTTGTGTTACTCGGTATTTGGAGATAAAGATTGTTTTTCTTCGAAGGGTCTAGGGCCGTTGGATTGTTTGTTTATGAATACCATGGCCAGGTGTGGTTAACGCCAAAGGGCTAATAAAGAAGGCCCGAAGATTGCCGTAACGACGCTAAGTAGAACAATAGTTCGGCTTTTGATAAAAATAACCAAACAAAGAATGCTTCATGTATCCGTACATCAAACAATAATAATCACCAACTATGATCATCCATAATATCCAATTCAATGCAATATACAACGAAAGAAATCGAGGTTGATCATCTAACAACAACCCTCCCCTCTAATCTATCTGCCTTTTGTTACACTAAGCAAATTGACATAGATGTCTGTACCATATGAACAGAAAAGAACAAAAAATCATGCAAACTTTACAGACCAAAAACCTCCAACAGCTGTAGTGGTGAAACTGAAACATGAGAAGTGAAAAGAAAAGAAATGAAGGATATACTCGTATCAACAACAAATGGAATGGGCATAAAAGCTGAGTCGTCGCTAAAAAGGAGAACGAGAACAAAGAGAGCGTGAGAAAGGAGTAAAAGGAAACGAGAGAAAGGGAAAGATCACTGCTTAGCCTGCAGGAACTTGGGCCACTGCTCCTTCTGCGGAAGCTTGACGCGACCAATGTTCTCGTCCAGATCCAAGAGGAGTTTCAATGCGTTCCGCGAGCGCAGATACGGCAAAGGTGCCTTGGCACCCTGCAATCCAACACCAGGCTCAACCTGTCCACTAGGCGAAGGCTCAGGCTGCGAACCAGGCATGGGGAGCCACTTTTGGAGGATTTCATAGGCGGCCAGGGTGAAACCGAATTGCGGCGAGGAACGGACGATACGGGCGGGACCGCCCTTGAAGAACGCGCCGAAACCTTCCTCCTTCAAGATATGTGATGCACAGTGGCGGAGGCCGGTGTAGCGGACTTCGCCCTTGCGGGCTTCGACTTGCAAACGGGTTTTGATGACGTCGCAGGGTGTTGTCAGGTAGGCAGCGGGCATACCGGCGATGGCACCGGCGGTGAGGAGCTGGACGACGCCGAGTCTGTGGGTTTGGGATTCGCCGAACATTTCGGATTTCAGGTGGGAGTAGGTGGGGAAGTAGATGGCGGAGAAGGGGACTGAATTGTTAGCAGGCTTTCTTTTTTTTTTTTTTTTTTTTTTTTTTAAGATTGGTAGGATAGCATACCATCACGGAGAAGACAAGCGCTGGCTCCCTTGTACAATCCCATCAATCCCAGGTTTTTGACAATCCAGAGAGCGGAGCGGCGAGGAGCGCCCTCGACGGACTTGGCGATTTCACCCTGAACCTGCAGGCGAATCTTGACAATCTCAAGGGGGTTGGTGAAGACCTAGTATTGTTAGTCGCAACTCAAGATCAGCATCAGGGATACTCACCACTTGACATCCTCCTGCCGAAGCACCAGCGAGAATCTCATGAGGGTACCAGATCCTGCCAGTGTCCTTGTCGGTAAAGTGATTCCGAACCAAATCATTCACAGTAAGCTTGATGGCCTTCTCCGGTGCAACACCAATCAGCTGAGGGACGACACCAGAGTACAAGCCGGTGAATCCTTCATTCCGGATGACCTTTCGTGCACAATCCAACGAGTTGTTGTACAGTCTCTCACCAACACGCGTCGAACGCTGGTTCTGCATACGGGTCTTGACCAGGTCAATGGGGTAAACCATGAACGCACCAAACGCACCCGCAAGACTGCCAAGCGCAAAGTGGTGCGCCGATTCCAGCACGCTGAACAGAATCGACTTGGTGTTCTCTGCGGCCTTTTGCGCAGTGGTCGAAGCAGCCTGACTAGCAACAGCGAGCGGGGTGCGCCATGATGCATCGACAACCTTGGCGAAATCCTTTTGGGCCAGCTGGCCGGATGGTGCGTCAAGACCGGCAAAATGGAACAGGATATCCGCCTCCATGGGGGTAAAGAGAGAGAAGCGCGTGGTACGGGCCGCCTCGTTCAGGAAGTCAGTGCGCGTGATCTTACCGTCATCGCTCTTGCGGGTTGCTTCGCGCACGATCAGGTCGATAATGTCCATTTCGCTCATGACGTTCTGGAAAGCGCGCACTGTCGCGTAGGAGATCTTGCTACCGTCGGAGACATTGCAAAGACTGGGCAGGTTTTCCAAAACGTAGTCGGACAGCTTGTGTCTGGACGTTTGGAGGATGATGCGCTGGAACTCATAAGGCTCAATGTATCCATCACCATCAGCGTCCATGACATGGAATGCTTGCCGAATGCGCTCTCCCTGCAATCCCCGCAACATCTGGGCGAATTGCGGGTAAGTCATTTCATGACGGCTCTTGCTCCTGCCCGTGTACAACGACGCCCATGCGGAGTTCCAGTCAAATGGAATGCTCTCCTGGGATCTCGTCTGACTGAACAAGCTCTCCACATTCTCCCACTTGACGGTACCCGTTCTCTCGATATCGAACAAACGGAAGGCAATCTCGTACTCGGCATCCGGCTTAGCGAGGAGGTTCTCGAACGTTGCCCAGTCGCCAAGGGTCAATCTACCGGCCTTTCGCGTATCGGCAACTTGAAAGAGGATAGAGTATTGATCCCGCTTAATCTTGTGCTACAAGACGAATTGGCTTATTAGCGATAAGGCACGATGGCGGGGGGAAGAAAAAGAAAAAGAAGAAAAAAAGAAAAAGAAAAAGCAAACAAGGGCTCACATAGTCTTCCTCCTTGGGGGCAATGGCATTGATGAAATCATCCTCGGTCATATACAGCTCGCCAGACTGGTCATCTTTGCGGGCATAGTGGTTGAAGTCGGCCTTGATGTGGTGCGAGAGCTGAAGCTCGTCGGAGCTGCCCACCAAGGATTGCTTGACAGCCTCTTTGACGCTGGACATGTTGTACTAGACCGATTGAGCCAGACGGAGCGGGATTCCTGAAGGGGTTCCAATGGGGATGCAGAGACAGCGGCTTTGATTGTCTCTTTCTGTCCTTTTTTCAGTGGACTGTACACTGGACCTGGGCTGAGATGGCAGGAATACAGAGAGAAAAGATGTGTGGAGAAAAAGGAAAATTAAACAAAAGAGGATTGGGGTGATATACGGTATTGTATTGTGTATGTATGGTATTGAAGTATGTATCAGGCACTAAGGACTCAGCTCAACCAACAAACAGCCTCATATCGTGATTAATATTTACTTCTTCTCCATGTTCATTCACCTCTTCAGCTTTGTACATTATTCTATTTTATTTTAATTCCCTTTTGCCTTCTCTACGAAGTACTGTACAGAGTAAACACTGGTCAGTCACCGCCCCCTAAATTACATACAATACAATACGGCAGATCGGAACAAGGGCCGATGCCTCAGTCAGGTTCTCCGCACAACAATGCGCATAATGAAGTAAACCTGGAAAGAACACATATGGAATACTACAAGTACTGTACTCTGTACCCTAGTCTTAAGGGTTGGTAGATGCTATGTACTCGATACACACTCTACTACATATATCTCATGTCTCTCTACTAAGTACAGAGTACTCTGTACACAGTCCTCGGAAGTGACTCATTTGACTATTCATATGAACAATTCACCTTAATAATCCCCGCCAGCCAGCTGACCGATATTCCATCTTTTTTTCCCTTCACATGACACCTTTCCACCAGTCACAGGGCACAGGTGTACTTTATCTATCGGCCCGATGTTCGTACAAACTCCGTTCCTGCTCGCTCCGTGTTCGGTGCGGGGCTGCGGGTCTGGAGATTTACTGGCACGGTGTACATTGTGCTCTTGGAGTTACTTTTCTGGGTAGCTGAGTATGGAGGGGAATTATTCATGTGTTATGTTGTATATGTACACATGTGCATCCCTTAAATGTCCGAGAAATAAAATATGTCGCGACGCTATTTTTAGTTAGTTAGGTTGAGTTTGTGCCTGATGTCTAAGGCAGTTCCTGTGCTTGGCCAACTTTCTATTTAACCGATGCATAGGGCTGGACTCGAGGACTACAGAGTATTATGTACAAGTATAGAGTAGAGCTTCTTATTTAGTGTATGGACAGGAGGCTGATTCAATCGTTGGACATTGCATTGCATCTTACTTCCCCATAGATATTGACTACATTCAGGTGCTCTGTATAACTAGTTAACTAGGTATATATCTCTAGAGCGTCTCGTCTACATACATTAAAGATATACCACCGAGTCAAACATCTCTCTCCTCCCTGTTCATTTTTCTTCTCCTTTCGAGAACTAACGACAACCCAAACATCTAAAGATGTTGTTATATTTGCGGGGTAGTAGATCGGATCGACCGATACAATGACATAACATGACAACATAATAGCCACTCGAGTATCTGGTTAATGCGTGATCGGAAGAAAAACCCAGACAATAGCCTCCATTCCCAATATCCCAATAATGCAAATGTGCCAAATGTGCCAAATGTGCCAAATGCACTGTGCTAACTCAATCCTGCAAGACATGACTCCGAGCAACACCAACCCTCTCTACCGACGACAACTCGAGAAATCCTCTCGATGATCCCCTCCCAGCCCTCCAACATGGCCATCTCATTTGCTCACGACTGGGTGATACTGTAAGTGACAAATGTGACACTGCACTGTGCTGCATCCCCCGGCGCTTACAGAACCGCCATCACTGGCCACCATTGGTTCTACGGTATTTCTCCTCTTTCGATCGACCCCTCCTACCAGAACCGACTCAACCAGAGACTTACCAGGCGACTATATAGCCGCGGAAGACCCCCTTCTACATATCTGGTCTCTTTCCTTCTTTTTCTTGTGTCAGACACTGTGTGTTTGGAATTGGTTATTTTCCTTCTTTTTTCTATTTTCGTCTTTGAGTGGTTCGTTTTGGCTGGTCCAAGCACCACTTGTTTTTTTTTTTTTTTTTTTTCGTTTGTGGCTTGACTCGGCACGCGTCAATAAAAAAAATAGAAAAAAACAACAACAACAACGCATACTTGCACATATTAATAGTATCTCGCGACACGCTGGCTGGAATTCGATTTTGTTGATCAAAATCAAAATCCTCACCGCATTCTTGCTTTATATCGATCAGCCCTACTTCATCTCAACCACTACATCACATCACATCCACTTCAATTCAATCACCTCCAATACAATAACACAAAACAAAACAACAAAATGTACGCCGCCCGTGCCGCAAAACCAAAGCTCTCCCTGAGCATCTCCGCCGCCCAAAACGCCCGCTCCTCCTTCCCCCTCAAATCTCCCAGCGCCGCCCCCCGCACCCCAATCTCGCCCGCCGCTCCTATCCCCAGCCCCGGTGCCGGTGCGAAGCGCTTCTCAACGCTGCAGCCATCCTACGCGTACGCCAACACTTGCTCATCCAAGAGTATTCTCAAGAAACAGCCTGGTCACGGGGCTGGCGCGGACAAGAGGATTAAGTTCAAGGGGACGCCGACTGTGCATTGCGTCACGCCGATTGAGAATAAGGAGGAGTATTATGGGTGTCATACGAGGATGGGGAGGGAGGAGAGGAGGTGGGTTGTTAGGGAGTGATTTGCTTGAGTTGAGTGATGGATATGACACGACAAGATAAGATGAGAAGATGAAGCGCGTCTTGACCGGATCTGGTCGATAGCTAGGGCTATTGAGAGACGGGTCGACCTTGATGGTCTGCAATCACGCCCGGCTCCGACGGACTCAGGTCTACGATACAACACTGTCGGAATAAGGTCTCGGATGGTCCTGTTGGATGGGCTATGTGTGTTAAGAGTGCTATTATGATCATGACGTGATGCCTTATGAACTTACCTAGCTGGAATCAATGCACTCATTATGGTTCCCAAGCGTCCTCTTTCCATAAATTTTAGAGTACCCCTGTAGATACTCTGTACTGTGTACTCCGTACTCGGGCTCATGCTATTTCACAACCTCAACCCCCCTCCACCAAATCAAACGTCGGAAACCCCCCCCCTATCAAAACTCCCACGAAACCTTTCTTCTCCCCTCTTCCTCCTAACATACCCCATAACCCCCCTCTACAACACTCCCCTAATCTACTACATTCCTCCCTAACACTTCTCCATCTCTACTAACCTCCAACGCCTCTTTCACCCACCCACCCCACACAGTTCCACCCCTGCACACCCTGCCTTATCGGCACTTTCCGCAGAAGCTCTTGCAGGCGTGGCGTATTATTCACTTTAGCAACCATAACCCGCACAAGCAGAATAGCAGCGTGACTGGGATCAGGCGGGGAAGCGGTTTCTTGGAAGTGCCATTGGGGGACCCCGGTGGGGGAGAGGGTTTCTTTGGCGTTGTAGCATGTTCCTGGTTCTGGTTGTGAGGTGGTTTTGGGTGTGTTGGAGGTGTTGGAGGGGAGTTTGGGTTTGGGGTGGATGTGGAGGGTCTAGTGGTAGCTGGTGTTTGTTAGCTTGGGTTTGATTGGGTTTGGTTGAATTGGGGGAGGGGGAGGGGAAGGGGAATGGACGTACATATCTTCTTTCCTGGGCATTTTGGGGGCGCCGCCGCGCGCGCGTAGAGGGGCGATGTAGAGGCGGTCTTTGTTTTTCATTGCGGTAGATAATAGAAATGACTCCTAGGTCATAATTGACGCCAAGAAACTTGCTGCAGTCTATACATATGCTTAATTATCCACTTAGGGTAACAGCGTGATGTTTCTGTGCTTTGGATGAAATGTCCGGGAGGAAGAAGATTGCTACGGAGACAATGATAGCGTCACATAACTTTGCCCCTTTTAGTGGTGGCTAGGTTTATATCTGATGTAATTCCGATATGTTATATGCTGCCTGTGGTCTACTTGATATGTTTAGATTAAGTCATGCATACAGAAGCCCTAGTTCACACGTTTACACACATAGTCAGCGCGCCAAAATTGTCATGAATCTTATACAACATAATCACGTTCGTTGTATTGTTAAGGTTAGTACGGTCGAGATTTTAAATGCCTGAGACAGGCACGGGAAGTACTTGAACAGACAATGCCGGATTGTCGCCGCGAGCCCAGTCCAGTCGGGGAAGCGGATTCGAGGGTCAAACCCACTCCGGATAGTTTCGATCAAGGCTGGAAGTCAGGCAGGTCGAGCTAAATAGAGTATTGGTTACAACTACCAGTTGTAGCCATGGGCAGTGCAATTGTGGGCTCAGATTTGACTCGCTCCTGCTGAAAGACCCGTTGAATGCTAGACTTGTCTAATAGCATGTCTGGCTGGTGATTCGAAAGAGCTTCGTCTAAAGGCCATCCTGTTTCTGTTGTATTTTAGCCTTCGACGACACAGTACGGGAGCTGTCACTGATTGTGGTGGTCTGTTTTTCGGACGCGATTATGGTGGTAGGACAACTGATCTTATCCGCTGTTTGATATCTCAGTTGCGGACGCCACCATCATTGCTTCTTTCTGTATCCTCAGTAAGATTGTCCTTCGGATCAACTCTGCTAGTTCCTTGAGAAAAAGCACGAGGAATCCCACGGGGTCCGTCCCAATCTCCATTGTACCTTCCGGTAGTATCTAAACCGGATGTTATCCACTGTGAAAAGCAGGATTAGCCCTGCATTTATTTCCCCAACATCACCCACATTCGTTGTGCTGTGCAAAGCACGCATAACAGGTAAGGATGCCGACATTTCATGTGGAAGTAATATTATACCCACTAAGTATGTCCATAACCGGCTTCAGTTTGGTTACAACGCGCGGAGCAAACACCCCAAAAACTCTTTTGCGCAGGCCATGACTGTAAATGCGGCGTACCATTGTACGTCATCGCCGCAGTTGTACTGCCGTCGCTGTTTGAAAGGTCTCGTTCACTTTCCGGTTTTTCTTGATCATGCTGGTTCGTGAGTTCCCAGGGCATATTGTAGTTCTCCCTTTCGCGGTCGCTGTTACTCCATCGTTGATCCGGAGTAGCGCCCGAAAAATCTGGGCCGTGGGGTAGAAATTGGCATGACAAGATTAACAGCATCAGATGCTATTGAGGATGTACCATGTCGTTAGTTAGCCCAGCGTCATTGGTCTGTTCCTCCCTATCCGAGAGGATGATATCGCTGGTATGGCCATGGTTGATTGTGATGGCATATTGAGTGGATATGGAGACTTTGAATCTCATATCATAACCTCTTTTTCTAAATCATATCAGGAAGAGGCATTGAACTCAACAAGTTGACGTCATTTGATTTTTGTTTTTGATCCATTCAGACTCATCAGCGTCAGACAAAGGCGGACTAGTCGGACTCTCTTTCTGATTCTTGGAGGCAGGGACAGGCGATCAAGCCAAGGGTGTTTCTTGGAAAATCAAATTCTCACCCACAACAAGACTTGTGAAGCCTTGATGTGCCTGTTGCTTATTACCTTCCAATACTGAAGCACAACAGCCATCATCTTGAAGGTTTGAAGGTTGCGTTAGCAGCTCGGACCTAATTGTATGAACAAGACATTTGTGTACTTGTTCTCAGGAAGCGGCAATTCATGGCATATCCTGCAGAGATGCTGTGTGTATAAACCGCGCAATCATTGCTCCTCTGGTTGCTTTCAGCCACCTTGACGGAAGCTTTGTAATGGCAACGTCCGCGGTGTTCGCGGTGTCAATTAAAGAGGCGCGTACATTATCACGTCCAGATTTGCTATACACCGATCTCAATGCTTACGGAATGAGAAATGGGTGCAGTTTCGACACACTTATTTTGATGTTGTAGGGGCCAATAAACACGGGAAATAACAACTTTGACCCTATCACCGTTGAAGAGGCACCTCGCCAAGGACTCACTTCGTAGGCAGCGTTCTATCGACGATAACAACGACGTACGAGGCGAATGGGCCAGCTCCGTGCAAGCACTGGCGGCATGATCGAGCCATTTCAACGCCTCGCGTCTGGACCCAGGCGGCCAGGATGTGGTTGTGCGAGTACAGTTCTCTGAAAGCTGATAGAACTTGCGTGTTCGTCCGGAAGGCCAAAGTAGGTCGAGATACCGGAACCAGCGCAGACGAACTCGCATATTGCGCATAGGGGAGTGCAAACGGCACCATGCATCCCCGTATGCGTGTATATGGGGTGAGAGTTCGAGTACGGAATTGCCTCAACAGATCACATACCCAGCAGCTGCCTCCATGATCTATCCTTCATCATCTTTCCCAAGGTTAAGTTGTGTTGGTTCAACCAGAAAACCTTCATTTCGCCGATAATCATTAGAATGTCCATGCCCGTCAAGACAACTTCTATTGTGATCACAGGGTTCCTGTCTAGGAGCCTTGAAGGACTGGCTTTGGCTGTCCAAAATGTCAGTAGGTGAGCGCTGGGACGCTATAGGGCAAACCCACACGTTCTTAAGCTGAAAGGGAGGGGCGTGTCGCGGGGATGAATCCGCTTGATACAATTTCCATCTCGACAAAACCGTTGACACTCCGCGTACTCCGCGGCCACTTCGAGAACCCAGCTGCGAGCTTTTTTGCGCAGGCGTTTTCGTCTCAGTTCAGGGGCTACAATTTCCCTGGTATGCACGCCCAAATATATGACCGGCGTATACAGACTTGTTTCAACGTTTATTTTTGCTGACGAGAACCTTTCTCCAGTGAGTCGCCCTGGAATGATAAAACGACGTTACCCTGCCTGGGGAACTATGGAGAATTTTTTGAAAATTGCGATATTGGCAGGCAATACTACTGTATAGTTGCTCATGCCGTCTGCCGTGGTACCTTCAACGTGTACCCCAAGTGCTTGCAACTTTTTTGACTCACGAAAACTGTTGGTTCGTGTTTCGTTTGTTCCAGAAATGTCAGCCTCTTTTCGGCCGTCATTTTGTGTAGGCCTATCTTTCGTCCATGATAGGAAGATCTGCTAGTTAGTCTCTGTAGCACTGATTCATGGAGGCATGCATGTGTGATAAAACGTTGCCGGGTGACAGTTTAGCATATTTGTAGAATGGCCAGATTCGGCGCTTCGTTACTTCGACATCTTGCAAGTTCAATTTGCACCGCATATGCAAAATGGAAGGTACAGTTCCAGGCGAGAGTGATATTTTGGCATCAGACTAGGACAGGTTCTTAGCCCCGAATATTATGGGGAGAACGGTAGCAAGGCTCTGTTGGATGGTATGAAGATATCAAGTGTCTGTCTGGGTGGCCTGAGTGACTTAAATTAAATATGGTGAGAAAGGGCACTGGTGAATAGTAAACCTTTTGCATTGTAGCAATTCACTGCGATACCCACTCATAGGTGAGATGCTTAAAATTGCACAGAAAGGAAAGGTCTAGACAATGTCATTGTGTAACCAAGGGAGAATGTACAATCAGCCTTGGCATTAATTCCCGTCTCCTTTATATCTTCCGAATCGCGAGTGCTTCTCCGGTATAGTACAGCGCCATGGCACTCCAAAAACTACGAACCTTCTTCTCAGGAAAACAAACCCTCCCCTTCCATGTCCTATCCGATCTCCATCTAGAAGTCGACCAACAATACGTCTCCTTTCCATTCCCAGTCTGCGCAAACCATCTCATTCTTGCCGGCGATGTCGGGCGCTTAGCGGATTATGACGCATATCTATACTTCCTACAGAAGCAGGTTGAGCGGTTCGCAACTGTGTTCCTCGTTTTAGGGAATCATGAATTTTACAAGGAGTCTTTCAAATCAGGGATTGAAAAAGCTAGACGGCTTGAGAAGGAGCCTTGTTTGAACGGCCAGCTTGTGCTTCTTCACCAGAGACGATACGATGTTCCGGATTCGAATGTCACTATCCTCGGCTGTACGCTTTGGTCCAGAGTTTCAAAGAGATCGAGCGACGATATCCGGCAGAATGTTCAGGATTTTCACCAGATAGAGGATTGGACAATCGATGACCACAATGCAGCTTATGATGCGGATTTCGAATGGTTACTACGGGAGCTCAAATCGATGCAAAATGAGAACCAGAGAGCAGGGAAAGATCAGAAACGATCTGTCCTGGTCGTGACGCATCACGCGCCTTTGACCCAATTGACGTCCAGCCCGCGGAACGAGAATAGTTCCATATCGCCTGCATTTGCGACTGACATTCTTTCGGATATTCCAAAGTTAGATGGCGTTAAGGCATGGCTGTTTGGCCACACGCACTATTCAACAGAATTCAAGTACCGGGGGGTAAAAGTTGTTAGCAACCAACGGGGATATGTGCTTAATGGGATCCGTCTGGGGGATAAGACAAATAGATTTAATCCTACAAAGGTCATCCATCTATGATAAAGTGTTGATATCGTGTCATGATGAATATAGAAACTGTATAGGTAGTCACTACCCTTTATGGCCACACTTTAGGGCACATCCTCAGGGCTTCCCTGGCCCGTGCGGATCCGATCTTTTTCCGCCGACCTTTACCGGAATAATGGGTCTCTCATCCACCTTACAATGTTGAACTTACGAATATCAACTGCGACATTTCGCACGAGTTTGCGCAATGTTTCGAGAAGGAATTGCTTCTCTAGATATAGAGGGTTGCTGACTTTGGCTGTCGAAACTTCTTGGTGAGCACTCTCGGTACCTCCCGTCAAAGTTCTTTACTAACTTTGATGTCTTTGCTAGCGATGATACTTCAGTAGCAATCGTCGAAAAGAACCCGAATAACATCCCTGGAGCCGCGAAAGTACACTTCCTCGAAAATGTCACCGCTGATTCACGAGAATACCGTGGCATCCACCCGATCCTAGCACTAGAATCGCACCAAGAGAATCTCGCAAAGCTCGTCGGAAAAGCACTCTCGCATTTACCGGAGGCAGAAAATATCAATGGCAACACCGGAGGCAATGTATCACGACAGGTAGTCTTGGCCGATGGGTCGAGTCCGCGCCGGAAGCCGGATTTCATATCCGCCACCAGAGGACCGGGAATGCGCTCCAACTTGTCCACCGGGTTGGATACGGGAAAGGCGCTTTCGGTTGCATGGCAGATACCGTTTGTCGGGGTACATCATATGCAAGCGCACCTTTTGACGCCGCGACTGGTTTCTACTCTGGATCGGAATAGCAAACCCGCCAGTACCACGACTACTGAAACCACTCCAGAATTCCCCTTTCTCTCTATCCTTGTTTCCGGCGGTCATTCGATCCTAGTGAAGTCGACAACTATCACAGAACACGAGGTCATGGCCTCTAGCACAGATATCGCCATTGGCGAATCCCTTGACAAAGCAGCCCGGGAAATCATTCCCAGCTCCCTACTTCAAAAATCAAAGACTACGATGTACGGCAAGGCGCTGGAGCAATTTGCATTTCCGAATGGAGCCTCAGATTACGCCGACTACCGACCACCAATGACCCGTGGCGAGGAGGTGGTCAAACGTGAAAGCCCGTGGGGCTGGAGTATTACCACTCCATTCGCCAACACGCGGCATCTGCAGTTCAGCTTCTCGTCTATCGCGAGCGCGGTTGGAAAGCTCCTTTCTTTGAAAGAAAAGACCGGGGAAGTCATGTTCGACGACGAGCGTATCGCATTGGCTCGAGAAGCGATGCGAGTTTGCTTCGAGCATCTCGCGTCCCGCACAATCATCGCCCTCGAAGCCCTTAAACCGAAAACAGGTAATTCCAACGAAGAAGTCAAAACACTAGTCGTCAGCGGCGGCGTTGCCGCGAACAAGTTCCTTATGACGGTTCTCCGTTCATTCCTCGACGTTCGTGGATTCGAACATGTTAATATCCTCGCTCCCCCGCCGTATCTGTGCACAGACAACGCGGCGATGATCGGGTGGGCTGGAATTGAGATGTTCGAGGCGGGATGGTGTTCTGATCTTAGCGTTCGCGCTTTGAGGAAGTGGACCCTTGACCCGCGTGCTGATGATGGTGGAGTTCTGGGTCCGAGTGGGTGGAGGAAGTGTTGAATGACAATTGTACAATAGCGATACCCCATGTGTATTTGTATCACTCTCCTGTCTATATCCGGTGTATATATATAGCAGTGTATTATACGGAAGATCTTGGTATTTCTCATGTTTCTCATGTTTCTCATGTTTGTTTTTATGTTACAGGTTGAAACCATGCCTTGGGGCATATCTTCAGATGGACAGAGCCTTGCCCACATGCCATAAATTCGTCTCCTCATATGTAATAGATCAATCATCAACCGTCCCTTCCAGAGGGAAAGCGACCCACCGGTATAACTCCGGCAGCACTTATTTTCGTAAGATCCATGTCACCAGCATGATCAACCACCAGGAACATTTCCACCCCGCAAGGAAGTGACCTGCTTTCGAAGCTCGAGGAAGAAATCCTTTCCGCTCGCCATGTTGTTGGCTGGACAATGTCAGCAAGACGGTTCTCCAATCGAGAGTACACATATCGACGTACGTTTGGCGCCCCAAGGTCCGCTAGCACGGTTGTTCACGTCCTTCCCAGCTGGCTTGTACGTGGCAGGTTTTTGTTCTGATGAGGACGGAGGTCAATGGTTCGTTTGCTAGCGTAAGGTATTAGTAGATTATACGTACCGTGTGCACCTGTAGAGATTAAGAACAGTCAGTCGTCGAACCGAACGTCAATAGACACGCGCCCACTTACCTCGCTTGAGAACTGACTTTGCTTCCGTCGCATTAAATCCACAAACGGGAACATGCTGCTCGTTAGCTGGACCGGCAGGGCTCTGATCGCGTGAGTCGCTCCAGGCATTCCCACGCGATCCTCCCATGTTCTTAGAACCCGACTGTCTATGGCCCGACTGGCGATTGTCTGGTCGGCCTCCGCGCCATCTGAGTTAAGCGTTAGTGACTTTTTGTAAGGGTAAAAAATAGAAAAGAACTCACCGGTCATCACCCATCCTGGAACAATCGTTGTTCTCACAGAGGACGAGTTGTGAAGCTGTGGGCGAGGATTGGGTGTGGTTGGAGGAGCTCCAGGTGGAGGGCGGTCTCGTCCTTTCTCCGCTTGGGGCTTAGCGGCGATAACAGCCACTCGCTCTCCTTTGCCTTCGCGTTCGGTCAGCTGGAATCCTGCGCTCCTGTGGTCACTTTATCTCGTCCGTGTCATCTTCTTCTCTCTTGTCAGCTTATTTACGCTCGTTTGGATAGTCATTTTGATGGGGAGAAGGTTGTGACTTGTCAAGTTGGCTGTTGTGGTCTGTGTTTGCCTGCTAAGGAACCGGCGCGGCTTGATTTCAAAGACGCTGAGCGGCGGGCTCAACATTCCCAGAAGCTGGTCTATTACTTTTTCTCCCTACTATATCCTACTAGACACCTTGGAAATGGCGCCTCTGCCTGCAGCGAAACGACACCCCGGCCCCGGACGACCGCCCAGGAACCCCCCTAAGCAGGAACCCAGTGAAGGGCCTCCGCTCAAGAAACGAAAGTATGTCCCAGGAGGTCCTGGGGGAGGAGGAAGATTCATCGAATACGAGGTGAAAGAGGTACAATCCGCCAAAGCTGCGAAGCCCGCGAAACTGGCCAAACCAACTCCAGTGAGACGCACCTCTTCAATCTCGCGTAGTCGAACCGCACGAGAAACACCGCGAGAATCCGAACTGCAACCTGTCCAGGATCATCCGCCACCATCTTCTGCCCCTGTACCGAAAACACCTCCCTCTGCGCGATTGAGACGGGATAAGACACAAAATCGCGGTCGTTTTGGCTCGTCAACGTCGGCTGCGCTTGCGTTACAACAGGGAGATGGCTATAAGCCGCGTGAGGAGCGCGGTTGGGAGGAATTCCATCCGGAGCTGGATATTGACACGAGAATTACAGTTTTTAGCGCGGACGAAGTAGATGGTCCACGTCCTTCAGCAGCGACCTCGAATGCCCCTACCGCGAATGGCGAACAGACTCCCATCCCCGATCATCTCCGCGCGAACATCGATGTGCCTTCTCCTACACCACCAAAGCGACGCCCTGGACGTCCCCCTCGCCGTCCTGATGCTATGCTTCATGGCCTGGGTATCCCGATCGAGCCCAAGGCGGTGCCGCCTCCAGGCCCCAATCCCCGCGAGAGGTTGACTCTACCGAAGCCGTCATTCCAGATGCGGGATCCGTTTGTTTTCTACGATTTACCAGGTGTTGGTCAAGCCAATTATGTCGACCGCACAATGGCAAACGTGGGATACCAGGAGAGTGATCTCTTTTTCCGACATGATCGCCAACTGATTCGGATGAGCGAGGCGGCGCAGGAGGATGATCTGGATGTGATAAACCCGACGGGAGTTGAGGGTGAAGTGAACGCAGCGGTTGGCAGAGTGGAGTACGATATGGACGAACAAGACGAAAAATGGCTGGAAGAGTACAACGCGAAACGAAGACTGGACGAACTGGAACCTATCAAACCGGCAGTTTTCGAAATTACCATGACGAAAATCGAGAAGGAATGGCATGCGCTAGAAAAACGGATACCCAAACCTAATCCGAAACCTCCCCAGACGCATCGTCCTCGTTCTAGCTCTGCAGCGGCCGTTAATGGAGAGACTACCGGGTCGGGAGAAGAACAGGATACGAAGTGCGCCATTTGCGATGATGGTGACTGTGAGAACTCCAACGCTATTGTGTTCTGTGACGGATGTGATCTGGCAGTGCATCAGGAGTGTTATGGAGTGCCTTTCATCCCAGAGGGCCAATGGTTATGCCGCAAGTGTCAACTGGTTGGAAGGGGTTCAGTCAACTGCATTTTCTGTCCCAACACTGAGAGTGCTTTTAAACAAACGACTACGTCGAAGTGGTCACATCTCCTTTGCGCCATCTGGATTCCAGAGGTGTCCATCGGCAACCCATCCCTGATGGAACCCATTACAGACATTGAGAAAGTCCCCAGGAGTCGTTGGAAGCTCAATTGCTATATTTGCCGGCAGAAAATGGGTGCATCGATTCAGTGCAGCAACAAGCACTGTTTCGTAGCGTTCCATGTCACATGTGCACGCAGAGCCCAGCTCTACCTAAAGATGAAGGCAGGCAATGGAACACCGGGACTCATGGACTCCCATCTCCTCAAAGCCTTCTGCGACAAGCACGTTCCTCCTGAATGGCGAAGAGAGCATGGCACCGACGTTGCTACTGCGGAGGCCATGGAATACTACCGGGCAACCATGCAAGGTCGACGATGGGGTGATAGCCAGGCCGCTGCTCTTTCGTTGGAACCGTCACATCCCACGGTCTGCGATCACATACATGACGATGGACAGAGAAGCGGTCCGCGACTCACTCTTACTGTTGGCGGAAACAAACGCAAGCGTCCAACCATTCCAAGGACCGTCTGGAAATTACCTTCTGGAGCCCCGGTCATACCACAGGTCGTTCTGAACTCCGTTGTGGCTTCCCTTCAGCGATTCGGTGTTCGCCAAAGGAAACAATACGGCGAAGATGCGTGCAAATACTGGACACTTAAGCGAGAAGCGAGAAGAGGCGCAGCACTTTTGAAGCGGTTACAATTATCATTGGAGACCTTCTCTTCGATGGAAATGACGCGCAGGGACTACATGGCTATGGGAATTGGTGGCGGCAAGCGGCTACAACGGCGGATCGAGTTTGGCGAACGGCTTTCGCACGATCTGGACCGGTTGCGCATTCTGTGCGATGAGGTGAAGAAGCGGGAACGGGAGAAGTTGAAGGATGCGGAGATGCTACGCCATGTGGTGGATACTGTTTACTTTCCTATTTTTCCGTTGCTTTGGCCTATCTTCGAAAAGGCCGTGAGGTAAGCAACAACCCTGTTTCACCGTGAATGATTATCGCTAATTCGATGACAGTCTTGATGGTAGGGGAATATTTCGACAGGGACTATTCTCTATCCGTAGAAAGTTGGAAGAGCGCTCGTATACCTCCATTTCCATCTTTTCAGCCGAACTTGCCAGCGTCTTTACCTCAGAGATCGGTGTCCAGCCTGCCGGGGACACCGCTGAACTTCAGATGCAAATCAGTGGTCGGGCGCCTGAGCTTAGCTTAGAGCAGCGCGAGAAGAGGAAGTTGGCTAAGCGGATCATTAAATCGATTCAACCTGCGTTGGAGGATGCGATTAAGAAGGAAAGCGAGCTGAATCGTAAACCGTTTGAACAGGAATTGAAGGAGTTGGATCAGATTTTTGAGGATAGTGTCCGGTCGCGGAGGAATTCTCTTGCTGATTTGACAGAACTGGCTGGTACAGTTGGCGGGGAAGTTGCCGGTGAACTGGAGGGTCTTAATGGCACGGCGCAGAAGATTGAGAGCGGCGATGAGCCTGCGAAACAAGAGCCTCAGGAAGAGCAGCAGGCTTCTGCGTTACCTGATACCGATGGTGACCATGTCATGGCCGATGCAGATACAGCGCAGGCCCCTGAAACCGCGGAATCTCAAGCCCAGGATACGTCTGCGACCAGCATAGCTACGCCAGCTGCAGTTAAGGAGCCTGAAGCTGAGATGGAAACCATGGACATTCGACCTCATAATGAGGCCCAAGCACCTACCAACGGAGACTCGAAACCACATCCCAGTGGCAGTCCACAGCCCACAAAGGAAGCGCCCGAACCACAAAAAGGACCCCCGACACCTCCACTGAGCTCCCAAGAAGACCAACAACACCCCTTGGCGCAAGGTGGCATCCAATGGTACATGGAGCCTTTTGATCCACTGGGTACTACAATCTACGAAGAACGATGGACAGGCCGAGACGTCATGCGCGGAATGAGCGAGGAGCTTAGTGAACTCGACGAGGATGAATTGATGGATTTGGTGGACGATGGTCTCGAGGGAAAGACGCAGACGAGCTCTGGTGCACCTGAGGATGCAGACGGGTCTGCCGGTGAGCCACCAGTCAAGGTTCATCAAACCCGGAGACGGCTACGGACATCTTATAACTAGTGGTTTTGGATAATGAGGGGAGTTATGGTGCTTTGATTGTTTCATGGATTGTTATGTTTGTATTCGATGGGCTGGATAGGGAAAGATGGCGTCCGTTCAAATTTCATGTATTAATTTTTTCTCACTACTAGCGATAGGTTAATTGAATTGGTTATCCAATGTCTCTGGGCTGCTATTAGTTATTACTGTACAGAGTAGTAATGTAGTACTATGCACTATCCGAAAATGGAATGTTGGTTGCTGGGGTCTTGGCGCATCCACCGCAGAGCCGCGCGTGGTCTGGAATTATTATGCTCGACTTCTCTTCTGCCTTCGCCCCTTCATTCCTCCTTCCACTTCTTCCTCCCATCCTCTTCCATCCTCTTATTTCCTTATTCTCATTTCCTTTCTTGTCTAATACCCTCTCCTGTTCGACTGTGACTGAGTTAAGCTGAGATACCAGCTCTCTTGTCATCGGTGGAATTTTTCTGTTTGCCTTGTTCCGGACGTGCGACACGCGCTTCTCTATTAAATCACCAGTCCCCTGTGACGTCTCTTTTCTTTGACGACTCTTTTCAACTATTCAACCCTTCATAATGGCCTCGGAATATGAGCAGGAGAACGGTCGCTATGACGGTATGCTTTGATGACTTGCTTGGCCGGCCAGCTGGACCTTTCCGTCTCGGATAACAGCAAGACTAACACCTGAATTTTTCACCCTTCAGACGAGCCTCGTTTCGACCGTCACCGCAGCGCATCTCCTCGCGATGAAATGAGAGATGACCGTGCCCGGAGCCGCTCCCCCAACGGCCGTATTGATGATCGGTATGCCATCGCCTTTGTTTTACACCCATAACAAATCGCCTGTTTCGAAAAGCTGACACGAAGAGACCAAGCGGATATGAGAGAGGTCCTATTGACCCTCGTAAGATGCTCGACGATGACGAGGAGGGTGCCCAGAACACCGGTTCCAACCTTTTCGTCACTGGCATTCACCCTCGTTTGTCTGAGTCGGATCTGTCGCGTCTGTTCGAGAAGTACGGTGACGTCGAGAACTGCTCCATCATGGTTGACCCTCACTCCAAGGAGTCGCGTGGCTTTGGCTTCGTGAAGATGGTCACCGGTGACCAGGCGGATGCTGCCAAGGAAGGTCTGCAGGGTGAAGTCATTGAAGGCCGCACTCTGAGCATCGAAAAGGCTCGTCGTAGCCGTCCTCGCACCCCTACTCCCGGCAAATACTTTGGACCTCCTAAACGAGGTGAGCCTGGTTTGGACTCCCATAATTCTCTTTTTCATAAACTATACACTGACGATTGTTTTAGGTCCCCGTGGTCGTGGTGGCCCCCGTGGTGATCGCTACGATGACCGCCGTGGTGGTTTTGGCGCTAGCTGGCGCCGTGACGACTATCGCTACGGTCGTTACGATTCCTACAGTGACCGTAGCCGCGACTATGGTGGTGGTGGCCGTGATGGCCGTGACTACCGTGACTACCGTCGTGATTACCGCGATGACTATGGCTACCGTGGCATCGACCGCTACGCTTCTGGCGGCGGCCGCGAGGACCGCTACAGTCGCGAAGACCGCCGTGGTGACGATCGCCGTGGTGGTGGTGGTGGTGGCAGCAGCAGCGGCGGTGGCGGCGGTGGTTACTACGACCGTGATGCTAACCCTCCCAGCTACAGCCAGGGTGGTGCCCCTCCGCGTGACGCATATGCTAGCCGCTCCTATGGCGATGACCGGTACGCTAGCAGGTAGGCGAAGATATGTCGGAATGATCAGATGTCGAAGTCGGTCGAAGGCACCTAATTTTTCTCGCTTTTAATTGTTGTGCACTTTTTACCCTTTCCTTTGTGTTTTTTCCTCCCCGCCCCTGCTAGTGTTTCTATTATCTGATTTCGACGCCAACGGTGGGACGTCGTTGTTTCTGTTCTTCTATGTCACGCACAAAAAAGTCGTCTTTCGCATCTCCTTGTCGTCTCGGTGAAATCGAAACGCTATTCAATCTTGCGGCCAACTTCTCAACTGTCCACACACAAGAAAAGGAACAATACATGTCGCCGCGCTTCGATCACTGGAATACTGTTTTCAATTTTTTATTCTCGATACTCTCCAGACAATCATGGCGGCAAGGACGAGGAACAGATCTACATTTACGTTGTAATTCTCGGATTATCTCATGGGTCAGCACTGCTACATTTCAACTCTTCGGGATGTTTTCGCTAGTCAGCTCTTCGCCTTATTGCGTCTTGTTCACAAACACACCCTTTACGTAACGACTCGATTGTATTCGACCAGAAAACACATAAAACAAAAAAATTCTTTATCTTGGCCCATGCCTCTTTCGCCCAATGGTCTCGCGACGCATTGTGAGAAACCAAACAGAAAAAAAAGGAAATCCGGCCATTCCACGCCAGTTTCCGCCATAGCCGTGGCGCGTTTTATCCCTGTAGTATCGCCAAACCATCGGCCCCTAGAATCCCCGCGAATGAGGGATTCTGTAATTCTCGGGTCGCCGCAGAGGAGTCCGGGGCGATCTTACGGCTAATTGCTTATTATTGACAGCATGGCCGGAAGGTAAGGTTTCTATATTTCGAAACGGGAGCTGATCTGTGTTACGAAGATCTTGATTTATTTTAGGAAGGGAGGGAGCTCTTGTTCGTGTTACATTGGTTTCTGAATTGTTACCCGATAAGCTTGACAGTTCATCTCGTCGATATCTATACTCCGTATGACATGGAAACGCTGACAGCAGGGCGGTTACTTGCACCAAGCCAAGGCTGAAATATTGGCAAATTAGACACGACAACATTACTGGACAACTGTCTGCATTGTGAAACAATAATTGGTGCATTGGCAAAGCATTGCTTATCTGTGCTGGTATCCTATGCATCAGTGATGATTTGGCTGGCTGCTAAGGGTTCTCCTTACGTCGTATGCAGGGATCCCTTTCGATGATTGTGGCTGCGATGATCTGCTCAAAGTCTCACTTGGTCCAAGAGATCGATCTATAAAACTTTTATATGGACAGCCATTAAGTAAATGAAACTTCAGTTTGTAGGAATTCCATGTTCCTAATGTATACATTCTGTACTTGAATACCCTAGCACCCGAGTGTCTCCAAAGTATACAAACACGAAGCAATGCGGCGCCACATAAAGTGACTGATCTAGCATCAGATCAATAATCCCGAACTTTATCGTGCAGTGCTTCTAGACCACTATTCATGGCCAGGTACGGCCAATGGTTCATGGACACGAAGCCGTCGCGACGCCCCAGTCTTGATAGCGAATAAGAATAAGTTCACCCGATTGAGCGCCACGCAGTCAGTTGCTTCTATACCGCTCCGGGCGAGACCATCTTCACTCCGTACTGTCGTGGATATCAGCCAGCGCCGGTCCAGTGATGTAGAAGCTTCGATACCAGTTCATGGTGATTGTTATCCGATCAATCAACCTGTCCTGTCGACCGAACCCTCTACTCAGGCGCCTTCCCCTCAACCTCAGCACTCTTCTGAATCAGAAACTCCCCCAGCACGCGCAACGGATTCGCCGGCCTATATCACATATTAGCTTCCTTCCTTCCTTCCTTTCATTCATTCCCCATATAAACCCCCAAGTAACCCCAACAACTCAATCACAAAATAGGGAAAAGGTGAGACGTACTGCTCCTTAGCAACCCCCTTCATCCCCTCTAGTAAATACGGCACGATCTTCTCGTTCATGTATACGCGCGCTGGGGCGCCGCCGGGTCGGCCTGTTTGCGTTTGCTGGGATTGAGGTTGTGTTTGGGGGGTGGTGTTGGCGAGGGAGTCGGCGGTGGGGGTGCTTGCGAGGGGGGTGTCGGTGGCCATTGTTTCTTCGAGGGTGGATTTGGTTGGTTGGTTATAGCGTTGGTTGCTGGAATTGGATTGAAAATCAAATGTAATTAAAAGTTGGAGAGTAAGGATGTAGATGCGGTCATCGGAGGTTGGATAGAAGCGTCGTTTGCGCGGGCGGAAGGGCGGGCGGTATAGAATGTGCAAACTGAGCAAACACACGTGATATCGCGTTTTTGGTGTGGCACGAGTGTGGCGCGGGTGTGGCGTTCTCGTCTGGTCTGGGTCTGGTTTTGGTTCTCTGGATTTTATCCCCTCAACTTTTATCTAACTATTTATTTTGTATATACGTTTCTTTATCCTATATCATATTCCTATGAGCTGATTGAATCCACTTGGCTGGCTAGGACTCACTCTGCCAACCGATGTCTGTCGCTATAGACGCGCAGTCATATCGCGGCGTGGCGTCCTAGATGTTCCGGTGACAGTATGTCCCTGCTGGACTACTGGGGGAAGAAGGGGTCTTCCGTGAAACGCAGAAAGGTGTCCGGCGAGGATTCGCAAAAGGAATTCCCAAGTCGGAAAGAGGACAATGTACTCCGCGAATGCGAAGAAAGTCCTATAGATCGCCCGCCGTCAAAGACATCTGATTCATCAGCCATACCTCTAGACGATGATATCCCCATCGACGACGAGAATCAACTTCCAAATAGCCAAACAGAACTAGAATCTTCCCTCCCAGCCATCGAAACAGACAAAGCAATAAAGGAGTATGAAACCTCGCATGCTGTGCAAGATGAACCAGATGAACAAGACCTGCACCAACGAATGCAAAACAGCAGCTGGCAGAAAGGCAAAAGCTCTATATACGTTGATGCCTTTAATATAACACTAGAAACAGTGCTAAATGAAGAGGCCCATTTGTTCAATGAGGCTGAGGTGGAGGTGTTCAGGCAGTGGAGCGAGTTGTCGTATGAGGCGCAGTATCTGTAGGTTTGAGTTTGCTTCTAGTATCTTTGTATGGATTTGAGTGTTGATTATTTGTCTAGGTATGTACGGCTTTTCCTGAGGAAAACTTCTGCGTGGCATCGTATTAACCAGCTTGGTTATTCGGATGTTGTGGATTTGGGTGCTGCGGTTGTTGAGCTCCAGCGCGGCCGTGGTCTTCCAATTCTTTCTGAGGCCGAGAATGCGAACCCAGCGGATATTGACTCTGGCTCGGAGCTCAATGGAGCATTCATATTCGCTGATAGTAGCGAGCTGATAACGACGCTGGAAGAAGCGTCGTCGCTATTACTACTGGACGAGCTGAAAAGCTTCGCAACTGATGTCAAGGCGCAAGGGAAGAGCAAGAAAGAACTGTTGGCAGCATTCCGGCAGTCAACGCAAACGCAGACCGGACTTGATTGGAATCCTGGTAAAACGGGTGTCAGAAGTCCGTCTGTGAATCGGGATAGCCACTATGTCCAGAAAATCCTTGATTATACTGGTGACTGTATACGGCTTAGTGCCGGTCCTCGGGTCTTGTTTGAGCGAGTGCATTTGGTCTTTTATAGGTCTACGGAATGGACGGAGAAGTCTCTTACAACTATTATTCTTGCAAAGACTTCGCGCAAGAACTTCCCGAGTTATATCGTGTGTCGCTCTAATTCGATATTTCCGTCTAGATCGACTCTCCTAGAGTTTGAGTCGGCCCTACGGATGCAGTTTGACATTGACAATATCCTCCAATTCAATGGACCCCCGGACTTGCAACAAGTAAAAGACCTTTCTGATAAGGTCTATCCTCGATGGAAGGAATTGCTAGCTCAAGAACAACAGAAAGAAGCTACTTTCTACGAGTGCGGAGAAGGGGATTACCTACGTCGCTTTTCACCGGCTTGGGTGTATACTCGGATTGTTCACAAAGGTCTACATCCTTTGGGACGATTCAAGGAGCATAAGCGAGAACATGAAGTTCTCACTGAGCTACTCGATCAACGGCTATTCCATGCCGCGCGTCGTGGTGGGTGGTATCAGCGGAAAGCTCTGTTGGAAGAACATTACATGTGGAACCTCACGCCATTCGACGGACGCAGTGAAGAGAACCAAAGGAAACACTGGAAGAGGATCGCGCTTCGGACGTGCGAGGAAGGCCTCGAAGATCCGAGTAGTCATCTAATCTACCACTACGACCTACAAAAGCGGGTCATGAAACTCGAGAAAGCTCTGAAAGTGCCCAAAAGAGAGCAGCATGACTTTGGATACGCTGTTTTGGCTAAACCTGAAGAACGGACTATTGATGGGATACGTATCGAGCAAGAGGATACGCCTCGCGATAATGGATCGAAACGAGGTCGCCCAACGGTCTGGGTAGATGAGAAAGAGGGCGGCGAATGCAGAGTCGAACAGGTATGTCTGAACTGGTATATGGACCATGGCTGGAAGGGTTACCATTCAGAGGGTGGCATCGTCCGTACACTAGTAAGCACACCCGCCCCCTCAACCCGTCCAAACTAACAACCCAGTTCGGCCTCCTATTCTACGACATCCTATTCACCTACATCCCCAACGTCTTCCAAACCCCCTTCCAAACCTCCCCCCTCGACCTCCACACAGACACCTTCTACCCCACCCGCGCCTCCGAAATAAACCACCGCCTCGTCGAAATCACAAACGGCTCTGCCGAACACCTCATCCGCACAGTCCACACCACCCACTCCCCGCTCCAACCCTGCGCCGTCGGCATAAACTGGTCCTTCCCGTTGGATGATCTTGTTGAAATCGCGCGGTGTTTTCGCGGCGAGGCGCTGGCGACGATTTGTAAGGTGCTCGCGCAAGAGTATCAGCAGAGGGGTGGGGGGATTCCGGATCTTTTGGTTTGGAGTAAGGAGAGGGCGGAGGTTTTGTTCGTGGAGGTGAAGTCGGAGAATGATCGGTTGAGTGATACACAGAGGTTGTGGATTCATGTGCTTGTTGGGGCGGGGGTTAGGGTTGAGCTTTGTAATTGTGTTGCGAGATAGCAGAGCATATGTATGACATTCTGTGCAGGGTCTCTCTTTTTTGCATATGGAAAGAAGAGGGAAAACTCTCCCTTGTGTAGTTAACTGATGACCGGCGAATACTTTCCCCGGGGGCCTTGAGCATGCATCTTCTAAACTTCCCTTCTCCTCCCTACTCACCACAGGAAGCTACCAACCAGCAACCGTCGACTCAACAATGGACATTCAAGCGTCAGATACGAATACCTCCAACGCAACAAGCCTCCTGCAAGATATCCGAAACTGGACCACCACATATCTGGCCATCGCTAGGGTCAAAGCAACGGACGACGTAACTGCAGAACAGTCACTAGGCTCTGAGCACGTACCAGCAGGCGGAGACGAAGGCCAGCCTAATCTACAATGACTTTCGAGCAAGTATTGACGACCACTTGAAGAATTCGAGAGATTGTCTGGGCTTTCTTGCGAGCCAAACGCCCTTGATATTCTAGAGAATAGAGGGAATCCGTTCCACCTCATGTTTCGTCACATGTTGCTACTGAAGCATCGCGATGGAACTACTTACTCCAAATTTCTACTTAACAGCCTTGTTACGGATACCATCTGGGAGACAAATGCTGTTCAACACTTGTGGGTTCATTTTATTAGTTCTGATTTTCTTATTCTTAGATCCTTGACTGACTTCAAGCCAGCACCGAGCTAATCGATCCTCCACGTTTCAAGATCCCACAGCTGAACATTCGAGTGAAAATCCCGGACGTCCAGATGATAGCAGGATTCGATTATCAGCGTCAACTAAGTATCCCGCTTATTGTTCTATTGGTACGTATGCCGTATCAATATCAGACCTTCACTGACCACACCACACCACACCAGGTCGTGAAGGAATCTGATTATTCTAAACTAGTCTGGCCCGAAGCTCCCAAAGTCCTTCTGTTAGCGGCTCCAGCCTACTCCCACAATCCGGCATTGGGCTATCACGACAGGCTCGTGGTCTGTTTGGAAGGGCCTTGTTTCTATGTCAGTCGACCCAGAACGCCGAGGGGGTACATGGCTAGTTTGTTTGAGGAACAAGGTATTGCCGAGGATTTGCCCTTATATCGCTCACGGAAGTTTGATGTATTCGATTGTAATGGCCGCAGGGAGATCGTGAGGATGTTAATTTGGGTTCTGCGGTATTTGGACGGGCGTGAGCAGTGGAAGATTCTTGGTGATTATCAGTATGTTCCATTAGCGTCTGATTCATCTTGATTGTATGGGTGATGGGATATTCTGTCTCTTTCATCCTGTATGTGGTTCTTTTATCAGATAGCATCCGAAAGTTTGCTACATATCTTCACGGTGCCTCTAGAAGAAATAAAAAATCAAATACAATCTTATAGCCCTCGCATACCAAACCGCATAACGCATCATCGACATCAGCAGGAGTGTCATTCTCCTCTGTATCACCACTCCATCATTCCAGGATCAGTGAATGAGTTCATACGAGTAAACTGACTGACATTCACTCTGAAGGGTGACTTTCAACAGCCGGAGAGCTGTAAAATTCAACCTCACAACTTCAACCTCGCCTCACACAAGCGATCCTGTGCATCATGCGCTACACTCTATTCCATCACGAAGAAGAAAGAATTGGTTAGAAGCCAAGCTCTCCTAAACGCCGTGGAGAACGATAAATGGGATTTTCAATTGCGAAAACCTGGATTAAAATGGGAACAAAACTACCTTCGGATCACTGGCCTTTACGATCGGCTCAAGAAATAGTCGGTCAAAAACAAGCGACCTCACTAATTCATCGGAATCTTGCTCTTTTGAGTGATGAATATGGTTCTAGTACCTTCTAATATACGAAAATCGCGAAAGAGGCGCCGTGCGACCACAGCAACAGGTCATGGGCCATCGCCCATGACTACACAAAAGAATAGCATGAAGAAAGCACTGGTAATGCTCGGCGAGACTCTCGTATATGAGGTATAGCGAATTCTGGGAAAACTCAATCCAGAAAGTTTCGAATACCTCGCCCATTGATCACCACCAAGACCCCAAAGATCTGGGTGTCGATGAGTCCAGTGACGAGGACTCATCATATTCCGAGGACGAAGACAAGCAGGACCAAAGAGGCGCCGCCTTGAATCCTCGGGCTGCATACTGGGGACAAGCGTATGCGAAATTGATGAAGAGTGAACTTTCTTCCAGTTAGTATATACTATCCTTGGTAAGTAGGTCGCTGTTCAATAGCAAAGCTAATTTCGCCGTGCAGTAAGTAACAATGAAGATATGACGCTGAATATCCGGCTCGGCGAGTCCAATAAGCCAGTCAAAGCCCGCAATGACGGGGGCGTGCGTCTTATGACACACAGTAAAAAGACTCTTCGGAACAGAATTGACAACAAGCCAATTATCTCTCTAGAGGTGAGAAATTCCCGATCACTCTCATACTAGTGCCAACGCAGTCCTAATTGCATGCAGGAAAAGCGGCGCCACGCTAGTGGCTTGGTCCACGAGTCGGGCGAGAAGGAGACGCACAATAACCGGCTGCTGGCCCAGGAGTTTTCCCGGCTTTTGGGCCATACCATGGTAGCCAGTAAGAACGTGTCGAAGGAAGGAACCTAAAAGGACAGGATTCGTAGCTCAGCACAATCCATGGAATCTGTTCCCATTGATCCAACCTAAAAGAGTCGAGGAAAAACCTGAGATCCCAAGGGTAAATGGGTCAATTCAGGTACGGCAACGGGGATGAGATGGTGTACAGGCACATGAGCTTCTTGCTTCTATACGAAGCGTGGTATGACTGACTCTGCGCACTATGACCAACTTTACTAATTAAAATTAGGGCTGATGGCTCGATTCATGGGACCATGTTAGTTTCCGAGTTGACCTTAAACGACAGACTGGACATTCATCAGTTTCAAGCTTGCAAGCAGAACCTAGTCACTCCCCCTCCAGCTGGGCTTCGCCAAAAAAACGGTTGAAAGTGATAAGAGATGGGACATCTACAGATGATAGGTCAATAAGCTGCCATGTAGCGCTTGAAGTTGCAGCAAGAATGGCTTGTGCTAGCAATAGCCATTACAATTGCTCCGATCGGCTTTAGGCCATTCATATGTTTATGTCCACCACTCTGGGCATAAAAAGGATTAAGGCCAGCTTTAAAACCGTTCCGTTCATTTGGCACGTTATAAAAGACAGGAGGAGGTATGCCTACGGTCGTCTCTTCTTTCCCTTTTTCCTTTCGGGGTTTATAGTCGATAACAGGGACTCGAACCTTAAAGGGTCTAGAGGTTAGCGAAAGTGGACTGAAGTAAGTTTTGGTTCGGCAATTTCTAGAGAACTTTAATTGACCAAGATTATAGCTGCGACTACTCCGAATCAGACTGACGGAATTCACAATACACGCCTTTATTCTGTGATCTTGGTTTTGAAGAAACAGGCCAGGACATTAAAAGGTTTGAGATATTCCGGTCGAGAATCCCAAAAGAAATTTTCAAAGGAAGTCTCCACGATTCAATCACGCAATGGCAAAAAGGACATGGGCGAGTTAAGAAACCCTCCATATAGGGGATCCTAGCATCTCTAAGGAGGTGAATCTTGCCGGTGTCGGAGAAAAGTACACGTCTAAGTGAGTCAAGCAACATATCAAGGAGTATTATTATGGTCTGACTATCGAGTCAGAAAGAAGATCGTTCCCCCGAAGATAAGACATGGCTACCCATCGCCGTCGAATTTGGGTACAATGAGTCCCAATCTCTGTATCTTATCTATTCCCATACAATCTTACGAACGACTTGGAAGTACTCAAATATAGAGCCTCACTTCGATTATAATATCGACCGAGTCCCTAAGTCATATGGTCGAAACCAGAGGCGAATTGACTTCAGCAACGAAAGATGCTGAGGTCCATCTACTGTCGTCAGACCCGAAATAGCCTTAAGATGCAGGGATGATGCAGAAATCCCGAAAGAGAGATAAAGAGAACCGATGTCTTTTGGCAGCACTAGGACCCAGAGTGGATTGAGCTTCCTAAATTCGACGTGCGAGTCAAGAGAAGAACCAAAAGAGAGTGGCCCCGAATCCCGGGAAAAGTCCGCAGATACCCGGGTAAGATCTCTTGTGACTAGCTAGCTGAATTCATTGGTAAGTAAGCTAGTCCACATCATCGGCAAAAGCAAGACCCTGAGAAATATCAATCAAGACCCACGCCAGATAAACGTCGATCTTCAAACTACGAGCACTACAGTGCCCAAAAAGGCCTGGTTTTGGAGGAGAAAAGAAGCAAGGAAGCCCAGAAACAACTTAAAGCTAGGACAAAGCAGATGACAACTTTGGATTTCAACCAGAGCCGTTACATGCACATCAAACAGTATTCCCATCACCAGCGATTGCAAGGCCTGCGATCGCTGTCAACCAACGGATCAACCCATATCAAATCACTAGCAAGAGACAGAGCTCAACTCGGGACGATAACTGTTGCCATCCTCATCTGACAAGAAGTGAACCGTTCCACCACTTCCCACCGTGAAATCTGGTCCTGTTGGTTTGCCGAGATCACGTCGTCATTGATCTCGAAAGCCAACCTTCTAGGTCAAAATCGCACTTCAATCATCATCAGACGACTTAAAAGGCCTGCATGAACACAAAATATACGAAAATCATATAATGCCACAGTATGGAGTCCCAAGTGGGCAAGCTTTCTCTAGCTCTGACCATTCCTATAACAGACGCAGCTTGACCGCATAAGACGCCGACGAGTTCCTTATATCATTTCTCCGGTATGATTTACAGTGAGCTTCCTATATTCGCGAAAACAAGATCCGGAAGAAGGCATTCGCAGATCTAGATGTGTACGGCCCTTTCAAGTTTGAATATAGTTTAGGGGGGTGGTTAATTGAGCTGCGCCGATTCGATGCCATCGCTATTCTGATGCCATGGAACAAGACTGTTTTCGATTGTCAAATTTCGCGACTGGAAAGGCAAACGGGTCAGATTGAAGTGCCGTGTTGCTGTATTACTGAAGCAGACACTTACATTCCTTAAATTGTCGGAATCGGCCCGCGTTCCTATACAGCACGATTGACCCGGTATTCTGAACGCCCGTGTCGTCTCAGATATCGAGAATATTACCGCATACTTCCCTTTCCCTATGCTAGATACAGGGTAATGCAATTCGAACAGTACCACCGTCCCATTCGGAACGACACAGAAATCTACGACACAGCCGTGGTCTTGAATATAAGAATCAGAATATAATGAAAACGACGTGGTCCTTCGAAACCAGACAGAATAATAGTGCAAGCAAAAGACGGGTTCCTGGCCTGTAGACTTGGAACTGCGTTCCCCTGCTAATTCATGCAAGGACAATTGGTTCGTTATATGGATGACGGGCACTGTGTCTATGAAGTCTTCTTAACCTGAGATGATTTATTTCAAGTGAAAGCGAATGGACTTCCAAGGTGAATGGCATCCTACCACACCAATTGATATGGTTTGGTATGAAATCTACATGTCTGGCCAGCCATAACTATAACCATGCACCGGACCAACTGTCATGGCTGCTCGATCCTCAAGCGATATTCCCCATTGCCAATCTTTTGGTTTTGCTGGTTCTTTTGCCGACACAGACCATATCTGGGAACAACAGTCAAACAGCCCTCGCGTCGCCATCGTCACTAAAACGACTCATGGATCGTGCGGCACGTACTATACAAATACATATCCAGGAAAAAGAGTGAGCATACAATACGTCCCAAGCATGAGGTTCCAGGTGGGCACGGGTTCCCTTTTAGCTTGAATGCAGTTTCTGGGGATTTCCCAAGAAAGCCACAATTTTTGCTAAGTAGCTCTTACTGCTAGCGGCGTCGTAGGGTAAGATATCCCTGACAGCTGTGTTGATACCAGAAAGCGCGGGAAACCTGGCTGTTCCTCAAGCTATGCTGTTTCAGTACAACTCTGGTGTATGTCTTCACTTCTGCATAGCATCTGCCAGTCTCGATTTCTTTGGCCTTGCGGTGATTTATGTTCAGGGAGGCAGCATAAACTGCACTACTACCACCACTGAGTGCTTGTTTGTTTGCCTGAGATGTCGCACACAACAGATTCACAAGATGGTCGCAAAGACTCGACTTTATCATCTTGTTGACCTTAGATGTTGCTTTGCAAGAACTTGCTGAAGCACTCCTTTTGAATATATCCAATCCGGACAACCGTGCACAGAACAGCCGACGGCGCGCTTTTTCGATTCAATGGAAAGAGAACGCGGAAATACTAAAGGACTTCGCAGAATATTACTCCCGCAACACAAAGAGTTACATCTATGAAGCGGTTGATATAACTGAATGCGAGTTATCTGAACAGTCCAATGATTACATTGCCCAGTTAGGGTCTAGTCAGATTGACTCTCTTGAAATCACTAGAAACAGACAAGATTCCCAACCCAGGTTGTTCACTATTCACATCGTCCCAGCCGCCATAGGCTGCTCGTTTTTCAAGCCCTAGTCCTCACATGGGCTTTCTGGTCCTGTCGGTTCTTCTGTTGTTATGTCATATACCTTATATCATCAAGAATCTCGAAAAACAGCCGAACGATCCTCGGTTATGATTGTATCGCCATCGACCTCGTTTCGGTGCAGTTTGTACAACTGCACGAGCATATGCTACTCGAGCATGTATCCGGCAAAACAAATGAGCATACAATACGTCCCGAGTGAAGTCCCGCGTGGGCACGACTTTCTAGCTTCAATGCAGTTTCTGGGGGGTTAATCGGTCGTTGACCTGCGCTTTCAATGCAACCAATCATTTTATTTCGGTGTCATTGTGGAAGTAAATGAAACGGAACGGGGGCTTTTGATTGTCGGAATCCATCACTGGAAAGCTGGAGTTGGATTACGCAAATGGATGGTTTCAATTGGCATGGTATTGCATATTTCAAACTTGAGATGCCGCGCATTTTTCTTCCCTACGCAGATGCACGGTAACGGGACTATGACAAGATTTTGATTGGATATGACCCTGTGGTCGTGGATGGCATCCCACCACGATCATAGATCTGGCATGAAAACCATATACATCGTTTACTTGGATACATCTACACATAAAACCAAACATTAAGAACCGTAAATTTTTATTTTTGGCGGTTGGAAAGTTAACGACCATGTTCTTCGTTTCAATCCACTCAAAACAAAAAACACAACCCGCCTTCAGACAGCTCGCTATCACCACATCATCTACAGACGCAGCAAACAAACCATCCTCGAACGTAGCCTTATCCCAACAACCCAAACCAAAGAACCACCGGTTTTTCAAGTTTAAGCGACCAGGGTGCTGGCGGTGGCGGACTCGTATCTCCAAGTGGGAGGGAGGACACCGACGGTCTTGTAGTAGCGGGACAGACGGTGGATACGGGACTCGATGAGAATCAGGCGGAACTTGGAGTCCGTGTCCTTGCGGTTGCGCTCGAGGTGCTTGCGGACGGAGACGGCCTGGTTTCGTTAGCGCATGTTTCTTCTTGAAACGGGAGGTATGGAGAGGAAAGGGAAAAGTACCTTCTTGATCAAGAAGTAAAGGTCCTCGGGAAGCTCGGGGGCGAGGCCTGTTTAAATCACTCTGTCAGCCATGACCAAGCAGAGGCAATGGAGACTGGCATTTCTGCGCAGTTCCTTTCGAATGAGAGAATTGAGGACTGATTGGGAGATTTGCGGTTGTGACATTCCAGGTTCAGGAGATTTTTCAATCCAGAAATAACCATGCCTTGATCAACCGCAGTGTCTCCTAATCGAACCACTCTCTTCATCCCATCGAGGTAATTGTAAATGGCGTAAGTGTATTCGTACCGCTCGACTTCAAGATACGGAGGATCTTGTTACCTATTGACCAGTTAGCCCCGTCTTCCCTCTTCCCAGATTGCAAAAACATACCAGTAACAACCTTGACCTGAGCAACACCGTGCGAGTCACGGAGGACAACACCAATCTGCGAAGGAGTGGCACCCTTCTTAGCGAGCTTGCAGATCTGGTCGACAACCTGGTCGGGGGTGGTCTTGAGCCAGGCCGGGGGGGTGCGAGAGTAGGGGATGGCGGAGGACGAAATGCCCTTTCCCTTGCTGTGAAGACGACCCATTTTGTTTTCTGGTTTTTGGTGTTGACGGTGGTTTGTCGACGGTTGTTGGTGCTGCGTTGAAGAAGATATGAAAAGTTCGCGATGGATTTTTGGGCGATGAGCGGAGAGTGGAGTGTGGGTCACGTGAGGGTTCGCTTAGGGTGGTGGTATTTAAGCCGCGCGGATGGTGTTTTCTTCCGCCGGGAAAACTCTGCGACTCTGAGCTTTCATGAGAGCTCTTGCTCTGTTTCTGTTGCTACGACTAACTAACAGGTAAAGCCTGCGCAGCTACAACAAGGTCAGTTCTTTTCTTCCTCGCGAACCCAACACAATGATGATACACACCTTACTTTTATTTTTCTGGTACCTCTTATGTCAGGAGTGCGTCCTAGCGATGTTTCTCCGATGATCTAAATGGACTTCTGATCTTCTCCTTTTCACTTATATTGCTGCAATATGCTATGAAGACAGTTTTGCTGACTTCGTAAAGTTTGTTAGGTTCGCTACTTGTCGGTGTCTGTTGGCTCAGTTTTTGATTCGATGCGGTAGCCCTTGGGTTCTGATCCCCAGACTCTGACCCATACATACTGGATAGTTTGATAGTCAATGAAATGGAAATCGCCTGTGCTTGATTCTCTCTTTGTCGACGTGTTTTCTAGAAGGCTGGCTAGCCTTGTATCAGGCTTCAATCGTGTAGCGCGGTCATGCATGAAGCGATAGTGGGATAGTGTTATCCTAATACCGCGCCTGCCACTCGTCCTCCTAAAGCCACCTGCCTAAACCAGGACCCTAGGATGCTTGTACAACCTTACGCATGGCGGGTGATGAGCCTGCCCGCGACTGGGGATTGACCGGTAGATCCTAGGGATGGCCCGCGAATGCTAAGGCACTGATGACAAGGGATGGGAGTTGTGGCTGCGAAGTGTCGTTGCGATTGTTTGTCCCTATCTCACACAAGGCGTGCACGTGACTTGAGAGCCCTGCGCATCAACGGGTGGTGTAATTCTGTAAAGTCGACTGAATGCAGCAGGGCAAGTTAAGATGCATGCTCGTTCCGATTGAGTCGGGCGATTCCAGGTTCTTCTCTATCTGAGGTTGTACAACGTTGAAAAGGTGCATGAGAGGGCCCGGAGGTGACCCGGAAATCATCCGGATGCCATCCGGCAAAGCGCCTGGACATGCAGTTCAGTCAAGCTACCCTGGAAGTCAGTCTCCTGGGCCAGTCCCTGGGAGTGTGCATCGTCAGCGGCGTCGCACGGCATGGCATTTGCATAATACCACAAAGATGATATCACACCGCTAAAGTACAAGTAGACATCATCGTAATTAGCGCCAGAGTGCCGCGAATTAACCAATGGTAGAAATGTGGTTGCTTTGAAGGTTGATTTGCCTATTTCCCTTTTCTTCAACGCGCTCCTCGTATTGCCAGTCCGGAGTCAACAAAAAAAAAAAAAAAAAAAAAAAAAAAACAGCATGCAGGACGTCATGAGACAGAGGCAAATAAACTCGCATACTTACTCTGGCTCAACTCGGTTCCTCCTCTACTGGAATGTCTCAACGAGACAACACCATTAGCCAGAATCTGCGTATAGCGGCAAATATTTATCATATCACTACGCCAAGTCACCTAATCGGAAGACTCGGTTGGATCCGCATCAGCTTAACTATATGCGGATCGCCTCTTCACATTAGTATTGTTTTAGGCAAATGGATAACTGTGATGAGTCGAAATGGCCACTTTGCGGCCAATGCTCCAATGTCGCAGAAACAGACAATCGGAAACGGCGATTGGATCGGAGCTGGACAGCTGATTATCCAGTCGGAGGGGAGATATGCAACGAGCGACGGTGACAGGCTGCGGCGCCGTGATGGATCGGTGCTGTCACGGGACTGGGTGACCAGTCACCTGTCATATCGGAATTTCCGTGGATTGTGAAAGTACGGGTTTTTTTTTTTATAGCTTTTTGTGTATACGGAGTACGCCGTTGAGTATACAGAGTAGGTAGTGGATAGATAACATTGACTGGAGGGGTCGAATTGATTTACCTGCGATACTGGCTAGAATTGCATCGGACTGCGCATGCACTCTATGCACTGTACCTCTTTCTTTACTGTAGGCTGCCGCTGTAGCACAGCCAGGTTATTTGCCTACCAAAATGGTCTGCCGTAGTGATTGGTGAGGTTAGCGATCATCAATTCTCCGAACCGACAGCATCGAATCGTGTAGAGGTTGGATATATTACAGGGTGGCACTGGCAGCTTCAAACATGCCGGGACCATTTTTGGCTAAGGTCCACATACGGAGCTTGGTAGGTGCAAGTGTCTTATTTCGACAGCAGACCTGGTTTTATATACTTGTCGCGTATCATATCATACAACTGCGGTTAAGATGGCATAGCTTTCTGAGCATAAATCAACGGCGATCACCAAGTGTAAAATACGCGGCACGACCCATACACCCACTTGGATCTAGACTCACCACTTTCTGTGCTCTTCGTACTGCGACTTCTACAAAAGCAGTATTATGCACTATTATATACACTATCACTACCAATACTCTGGTATAAAGAAAGTAGACGATGTCAAGTTGACATCTTTTTGATCTTTGAACCCTAATTTCACTGGCGATTCTGGTGGCGCAAAGGATGAAGAAAAGATCAGCGCTAAGATGCTGGCAGCATAATGCAGAAAAAGAAACACCCCTGCTGGTGATTGATGCCGACTGTAGCTTCCCGTATTTATTGGGTGGCACTGCTATCAACGGGTTTTGATATCGCATGTATCATATCGCTTTTCGGAGACTGTAACAACTTACTCTGACTACTGACTAGTGTTATTAGCATCGCGTCTACTCAACGCTTCGATCCCGTAATACAGTAATACTCCGTACACGTTCTTTCATGCAGCGACCAATAAGCAATCCTCGTGGGGCAAAGGTGATGGTGGCCCCTGCATGGTTTGTACGAGTATATCCTAGTAAGGCATCAGATTGGCCACTCTCGTGTCGGCTTTTACTTCTCCTTTTCATGTCTCGTTATGATATATATTCTTATTTTGTCCTCACTTCTTGGAACTTGGTCTTTTTTCCGGTGTACAACTAGGTTCAACTGCATTGTATCTGCCCGTGAGGGCTGTCCCACGATTTTATCTCCTCTCCCATGCCACAATAACATACAGCTATCATGACTATCGAGACTAGATTCCTCGACCCAACGGAGGGACTTCAAATTTCAAATTACACTGGTATATGCCAGTTTCCTTTTCTGCAGCAGAATCTCTTTCCTGACACTGGTGGATGTATGCGCTCCTCGTTTGACCCTTGTTCTATCCAGTACTAGACTAACAACACGATACAGACATCAACGGACGGTATTGTGCGGTAGTCCCGAACCCAGGCGGACACGAAAATTGCTGCGTGCCATGCCCAGTGGCTAATTGGAAATATGGAGACGGTACGTCTTTCCTGTCGGTCTGTCGTTTCAGCAACTGACCAATATAGAATTGATGGCGAAGACGAAGATCCCGAGTTACATTAGTGCCCTGATTTTCCCTTTCGTTGTTCTTCTACTATTATCATATGCGGTGCTTCCGGCGAAATATTCGCATCTGCATTACTTGAGTGTTTCGTTTACCATTGGGATTTGTTGCATGCATGTGAGTCGTTTGATATCAGCCTGGTCTGGCATTTACTGACAGCGATAGGTCGCTTTTATCATACCACTGGGCGCAAAACCAGAGCAATGCTACAACGAAATCACACCAAAAGGCATGCACGATGACCTCTCGTGTGCCTTTACCGGCTCCCTTCTTCTTTTCGGAGGCTTCAAAGTTGTCGTATGGAGTACGTCCCCCATTTCCCTCCTCTATCAACTCAAGCTAATTTGCAGGTTTCATCCGCGCCATCGCCTTCCACCTCCAAGTCTGCTGGGAACAAGTCCTCGGCACAAAGTTCATGTGGGGAGCCCTAATCTGCGGCTGGGGCGTCCCAGCCATCGGCACAACAGTCATGCTCATCGTCACCGGCGTCTCCTTCCGCTTCGGCGAAATCTGCCACATCAACATGGAAAACAGCATGTACGACTACTGGATTCCCGCGCTGGTCTTTGCCGGCACAGCCCTCGTCCTTCAGTTATCGACTATGGCCTATTGTATCCGCGTATACCTCAAGTCACTATTTAACAGGGAACCCAGCGCTGCGACTGACGCGTTGCCGTCTTACGCTGCTAGTGTTCGCTCGATCAATGCTCGTCAGGCATACCGGCGGATCAGCAAGGTTTTCCGGCTGCAATGGCGCGGCGTGGCATTCGTATTCATCATCATTGCAAACACCCTCCTCTACTCCACCGTTTTCATTAGTCTAGATGCCACTACAAAACTAACACACGAAGTCGTCCAAAAGGCCTTCCCCTGGCTGCTCTGTCTCAGCTTTACAAAAGGAGATAAGGAACACTGCAAGGACTACGCCGTCGATATCGGACCTGACAAAGATACCCTCCTCGCTGTCCTCATGTTCCTATCTATGGTCGGCCTGTGGAACGTTGCGCTTTTCGCTCGTCCGTCTATGTTCACGGGCTGGCTCGTACTCTTCAGAAACGCATTCAGCAATCACAAGAAATACGTCTCCGCAGACGCTAGAACCCTCCTCGCTACATCCCCCGAACCCCACAGTTTCGAAATGCTGTACAAAAGCAACACCACCAGCACCAACTCCAAAACCCTCGGGGCCGAAGCATCCATCGACATCGGCATCGGTATCGCCCGCTCCTTAACCCCCGACATACCCAAGAACAAAACCCCAACCCCCCAAAACCCACTCTCCCCTCAATCCCCATCATCATACGACTGGGAGTCAGACAAGGAGTACATCAAACGACCGCCCATGAGCTTCTCGAGACCGCATCCGACTGTGGCTTCGCCGCCGCCGAGGATTTGGTCTCCGGTGTCCAGGGCCTCGGGGATGATTAGTCCTACGGGGCTGGGGTGGGGACCGAGGGAAACTTTTGCGGCGCCGAGTCGAGGGAGGAATCCTGGGGTTGAGGGGGTTTGAAGGGGTATGATTATGAGTACTTTTTTTTTTTTTTTTTTTTTTCTTGGTTTATGGTTGTGAGTTCGATTCTTACCCTCGATTTATTCTGTTTATCACGTTATACCTTTTAAATCACGTTATTATATGTCCCCTTTCATTGTTCAACACATACACATTCACTTCTTGATTGATGACACGTTACATGATTGATTCGTTTGGATTTTTGTGGATTTGGTATACCCTGTCGTTTTGTTATGTTATGTTTTGGTTTGAGTTGATTTGATTTGTTTCATGTGCTGGTTTGTAATTGATATATCATATTGGAGTTTGGATTCTGGATACGTATATTGGTGTTGGGGATGGAGAAGAGACAGGCATCGTGTATATAAAGTACGTTTTGGAGTAGTATGAATCAAGCTACGGAATACGGAGACTTGCTGCTTCATACCTTTCCCTGAATGTCCATGACGTAGTCCTGTATGCAGTACTTTTTACTTTGCGAGGAGTAGGAGTGAGGGCAGGAATAGAGATACCTAGATGTGTTAGAAAAAGTACGATTAGACTCGGGACTCGGCACCAGCCCGGCATAAACCAAGTTTATCCTCGGGGTAGCATATTTCCTTCTTATATATAGGTAGTGGCGGATATTAGCATCGCCAGACCCTGAAACTTCCTCAGTATCCATTCCCAAGGGAGGCAAGATCCCTATATCTTGAACTGAATACCATGCAGATTAAGCAATTGATTGATAGCTGCTCACGTAAAATCCATCTGCTATGATACATCACCAACCCACCTCCGGATAAAATAAACAAAATAAACCAAGTCTCGACAACGTTTTCTGACCTAGCACTTAATAGCGAACAGACAAAGGGGAATAAAGATAGATGAAATTTAGAAGCTCAAGACAGATAACATTTGGGGATTATGGTCACTTTTACCAAGCTTCGACGTCGAAGTTTTCCTATTCGTTGTTAGTATGAAGCGCAAGGTGACTAGTGTGGGTGGAGCTTACCTCGGAAAAGTACGTCGTCACGACTGTCCGGTCCGAGAACTTTCTTCCGGCGAGTGCCTTCAGCGCATTTGTTGTCGATTCCACCGTGTCGAACTTGACGAAGATCTTGCCTACTCCTGCGGATTGCCTGCTGCCGCCAGAAGGACGGGGGATCTTCACACCAAGGATTGGGCCGTATTTCGAACACTCTTCGTGCACGTCGTCGCAGATTTCTACTTCATCAGTATGATCCCAGAGAGTGAGATGGTGGGGGAAGACATACCCTCATAATCATCATTGTCCATCAGTTCCTCCGGAGTCACCATGTTCAACAACTGCAGCACACGACTGGTCTCCAAGTCTTGAGAAGTAGTCTTGGCGAACATCGACATCGCGTTGACACCCATGTCCAGACCAGAGGCCTGCGTAATTCCAATACTAGCCCGCACAACCTTGAGATGTCTGTCACCAAGTTCCATGCCATTAAGTCCCTCCACGGCAATACCGGTTGCCGAAGGATCCGCGTATTCGCAGAATGCGATGCCCTGTACTCAGTTAGCAAGAGATGATCATGAATGCAGTTGACATTACTCACCCTAGATTCCTCTGTCGAACCGTCCTTAACCAACACAAACGACTTCAGCTCGCCAAAAGACTTGAGCAGCATCGTAACAGGCTCCTCAGGGATGTAATGCGGGATGTTCGATACACAGATCTTGTTGGGCGAGTCTGGAACCTCGTTCAATAGCACTCCCTCCTGGTATTCCTGCTCCGCACCACCAGGGACAATGTAGTCCTTGGGCCGTCGTACTTCCAACCCAGCAGGCGCGCCGTTGGCTCCAGCCTCAGGTGCATGGTCATCCATCAAGATTCCGTCGAACGCGAGCGCAACGGTGGCATCGTTTGGTGTCTTAAATTCCAACAGAGCGAAAGAGTGGTCTCCAGACACTTGGGCGGAGATACAAGGATCCACACTCTGGATGACATTAAGACCGTTAAGCTGAACGTTAAAGAACGCGAGCAAAGTCTCTCCGGTAGCACTAGGTGGCAAGTTGTACGCGAACAGACGCTTGGCCTGGCGAGAGTTGGAAGCTTTGAGAGTCGTGCTTTCCGCCTGTTCACCGCCGGGTTGTTGGTTCATGAAAGCCTGGAGACGACTGGGGTCCATCGGCTGCTGTCGAGGTGCTCCAGGAAGAGGGAACATTCCTGTATCCGAATTAGCACAGAACAAGTACCACCGGGAAAAGACCTACCTGAAATCTTCGCCTGCTCCGCAGTAACATTCTCATAACCCGGAGGCTTGATATCCCATTGTGTCAAACGGCGCTTCCGAGTCAATACCGAAGCAACATCCGTCAAGTCAGGTGTAGCCTCCCTCTTCCTCGGCGGAGGCGACGCAGTCCTCCTCCGATCTCTCCTATCTCCGCGCTCACGCTCAAACTCACGGTCATGGTCACGTTCGCGGTCGCGGCCTCCCCGGTCTCCCCGGTCTCCCCGATCTCCCCGGTCTCCCCGATCTGCCCGATCTCCCCTTCGGGACCTACCACCGTCAAACAAGTCTCGGTCTCTTTCGCGTCGGGAGGGTCTGTCGTCGTAATCTCTGCGTCTGCGCTCGCCGCGGTCTCGGTCCCATTCACGGTCATCTCTGCGGCTGGAGTAGCGGTCCTCCCTTTCTCTGGCGCGGTAGTCGCGACTTGACGAGTATGTATCGGCCTCGTAATCGCGTCTGGATCCTCTTGAGCCGTGGTGAGGAGATCTCGATCGTCGGCGTTCGCCTCTGTCTCCGCCGCGTTCGCGACGCTCGTCGCGCTAAAGCTTGTTAGTTGATTTGAATAGTTAACATAACTGAAGGGATTAAACTCACGTAGTAATCTCTAGGACGACCGGAGTCTTGCGATAATATATGGTTAGATACGTATTACCAATGACGATAGGGAATAATACTAACCTCTAGACGAATAGGCGTCGCCGTTCATTTTGAGCTCCAAGCAAGATTCCTCGCGTTCCTCCCAGGGGTAACAAAAGCCGTTGCGAAAAGAAAATTAAGCTTAAGTTAGAGTACCAGCGCCCGAGCGACGTTGAAGCCAAATCAAGAGATGGCAAGAATAATTGAACGGAGTCTGGGCGAAGAGGACAGCGACAGGTGCAAGGCGGCTGGACGAAAACTTGCAGGTCTCGACGATCGGCCGGCGTCTAGATCGAAGCGGTTAGCGCGCGTCTGTCTGCGGAGGCCTCACCGCCTGAAAATGTGGCAGAATAGTGTCCTATCAAGGTTATCTGGACTGCTACTCTTCAATTGCTAGACCAGCCAGCATGACTGTTGGTGCTTTTTCGGAATGGCGCAAGCTTCCAGTGAGCCTTAGTGAGCTGTGCATTAACACGACGCTTCGGTGTGGTCAATCGTTCCGGTAAGTCCCATCGCATCGCACCCAAATCGCAGCGCATTCTAACTTGCGTCTGGCTAGATGGCACAATGTCCCCGATAGCGATGAATGGCGATGCGTGCTTCACGGGAAACTCCTCTCCCTGAAACAAGACCCTACCTATCTCTATTACAGAACCTACCGATCCCCGAAATCAGACAGCATCGATAACGACGACACAACAACTCTCAACCTAATCAAACACTACTTCAACCTCACCGCGAACCTAACAGACTTCTACGCGCAATGGTCCTCGCAAGACCCGAATTTCAAGAAGAAAGCTCCCCAATTCACCGGGATCCGTATCCTCCGCCAAGACGCCTGGGAAGCACTTATCTCCTTCATCTGCAGCAGCAATAACAATATATCGCGCATTTCGCAAATGGTCGAGAAGCTTTGCATACATTATGGGCCATTTATCGGGACGGTCGATGACCGCGCATACCATGACTTCCCAACTCCCGATGCATTGACTGGTACGGAGGTTGAGGGTCGTTTGCGCGGGTTGGGATTCGGGTATCGCGCTAAGTATATTTACCAGACGGCGCTTATTGTCGCGAAAGAGCGGGAGAAGGGCTGGTTGGATGGGCTATGTAATCCGGAGTCACCAGCCTTTGGAGCCGAGCCTGGATTCGGAGGGGAGATGAAACCGGAAGGAAGAGATGGCTATCGAGAGGCGCATGAGAAGCTATTAGAGCTGCAAGGCGTCGGGCCAAAGGTCGCAGATTGTGTCTCCCTAATGGGGCTAGGGTGGGGAGAATCCGTCCCCGTGGATACACATGGTAGGCTACTGCCCCTTATTCTTGCTTACGCATTCAACTAACCTGGACGATATAGTCTGGCAAATCGCCCAACGAGACTACAAATTCGGCAAAGGCGCACACAAAACCCTCAACAAAGCAACCTACGATGCCGTCGGGAGCCACTTCCGCAAACTCTGGGGCAAAGAAGCCGGTTGGGCGCATAGCGTCCTGTTCACGGCTGATCTCAGGACATTCTCCGATCGACTTGCCTCGTCAAAGAAATCTAAGGTGGAGGTCGACGTCAAAGTGAAAGAAGAGAAGAACGACGACGTGGAAGTTGAGACCAAGGTTATGACTGCTGTTGCGGTTAAGAGGTCTGCTAGCGAGGATGGCGATGAGAACAAGGTCAAGGTCGAAGATGATGAGACAAAGACAAAGGAGGAGCCGAATGGCATCGTCAATGCTTCGCAAACGACAACAACGAGGAGGATGTCGAAGCGGCTTCGGAACCGCTGATCTGATGCTTATTGGGTAGTATTCATGTACAGTATACCCATTCATCTATTCGCATTTAGACTACAATACTACGGGAAGTCAGGCACTTGGATTACCATGTTTCTCCTATTCTGTATATACTCGAGCTACCACACATCTCAACTGGAATTAACCAACCAGACACCCAAACAATCAACCTGTAAAGTAGACGATCTCCCTCACACAGGAAGTCAGTGCATTTCATTCTTGTGACCTTCTAGGGTTCAAAATCTTACCTAGGTTCACTTCTTCAGAAGGGGGTTCGCCGACCAGACACCAAGGACGTACGAAAACAACTCAAACAGAGAGCTAAACACAGCCATTAAGATTGAACACAAAAGCCTTTGAATCACCGGAAGTCACCACAAGTAGCCAATTCTTCCAGCATTCTCGTCCTGTTCTCTGTCTATCTCACTCCTGCACTTTTGAATAAGTGTGGGTATGGCTGCCGTATCTCCATTTATCTTGCATACACACGAGCATTGTATCGGGCTGCACCATTATCGACACATGACCGGGAGGTCGGTCAAGTAAAGCGAGGGCGCAGACACGTTATTCCATTGTGACATCCTCCCAGATAAATCTGATCTCCTGATTGGTTAGAACAGGATTTCGTTACACTCCGTACTTTCAAGGCGCATCTTTTCCGGTTGTCTGGCTGTAGCAATGCAATTCCGTTCCGTGGCGCCGGTCAGCAGGGGATCAAGTCTGATCAAGTCTGATCAAGTCTTAGGACCGTCATGTGCTATCTGCATTGCGAGCCTTCACGGAGTCTGTGTATAGTCTGTACGGCTGATGTGAAAAAAAGTACACACATCTACGCGGTCTGTCCGAACTGGATACAGATCTAAAAATCGTATTAGTAGAAAGAAAGCTAGAAAGGTGGCATGGAAGTCACCTTCTTATAGCCATTTCTAGTTTCTTTTCCCTTGGTGCTGTTCTAGACCCAGTGTTCTATAATGAAGCGTTCCATGTCCGAGTCAAGTTGTTGAGTTATATGATGTTATGGGATCATAAATGAGTTCTAAAGTGCCAGCATGATACTATTCGGGTGCAAATATATATATATTTCGATATAGCGAGAACCTCGATATAATTGGCCTTATTCTGGCGATAAGTCCGCCGATACAGTAGGCCCAAGGGCATAAAAGAAGGTTAGCCGCAAGACATCTTTCTCTATCATTTTCCTGTACTAATACGATCTGCAGATTCTGTATCCGAGGCCAGTGGCGCGCTTGATGGTGTGGAAATTCCAACGACCCTTGAATAAAACACGTTGGAGGACACCAAATTTCTCGCCATACATCCTTTCGATGAGCCCGAGGAGATAATCGAAATGCCTGGAGGGGAAACTACTATTTCTCTCAAGTATGAAGTAAATGGCGAGACGCATTTGGAATGCCCTGCCTGAATATTTCGCCCGTCTTCCCTTACGTACAACGTACGAAGTACGAAGTACACAGCGAGCAATGCCAACGGCATTCCGGTGATAATATATCTCTTTCCCTTGGAATCCGCTATATGCTCATCGCTTAGGAACCAACCTCGCGAGCATCCATCGGGAAACCTTCCATTCCCGTCTACGCCGAGACAAATCTGTATGACAATCTCGTTTAACTTGATATTAGTATCTAGGCTACATAGAACTTCACAGCTATTATTCAAAATTCCATTCTTGATATCGCTCAACTCCCGAACCAGTAATAGTAGTACCAAGTTAGGCAACCAAGACAGCCCTACTAGCAAGCAAACAAGGATATTATACTCATGCGGGGATTATTTTCAACATTTAACAGGGAAAATAGGGGAATATGCATAAATGTAACCTTATGATGACAATCATTCCATTCAGAGCGAACCGAGGTCCATGTTCCGTACGTGCAGAAGTATGAGTGTGAGGTGTATGCATGGCTATGGCCCAAAGGGGAAATGGCGCAGTGATCCGGTAGGTTTGCCGAGTAGGTCTGCCAGTGGTGAGATCATTGCTTAAATGGGGATTGATTGAGGGGTTTCCGTGGGCGTTTGTTGGGTTTTTATTTATACTCTGCATGCGCTGTCTTGTGGAGTGTAAGTTTATATTCATTTATATTCATGATAATCATTCAATATGCACATGATATCCTCTCGCCAGAGAAGATGATAAATGACAAACATCACTCAAGGGAAGAAGGAAAGCAGACTACATAACAAGGAAATGAAGAAGCTATACAACATCACAGCACTTATCCCACTAGGTGCTTCTGTGTGAAGTGATGGACATCACCCGAATTCCCGCTCAGACTACCGCCAGATCAAGCATATCTGAAGCATGTCGGAGGTGAAGGGGGATAGACGTGACCTAGGTGCTCGAGCAGGCACCAGATGCTTGCTGCCCATATGCATACCATGACCAAACGGTGTCTGGTATGTCCGTCAATCGCTGACAGCAATCATCGGAACGAGGCCTCACTGGACCCAAGAAATTAAAAACGAGAAAAACAGCAACGCATCACGAAACACCTTCCTCAATCCCCTCACTCCCACCCTCCTCACCCCACCCCCACTCCCTCAACAACTGCTTAACCCGATACCCCGTCGCCCACCCAAGATCCCTCTCAACATCCCTCAACAATCTAACAATCAATCTCCTCTCCCTCGCCTCCGTCAAACACTGCCCACTAACAAACAGCGGCTGGAGCGAGTGGATCCGTACCGAACTATCCGGCCGCGCCAGTGATATACCCAGGATCTCGCGACTGTGGTATCGGATTTCGCTCTCGATGGAACGGTACGAGTTTAGTCGGTTGGCGATCGTGCTCCGGCGGCTGGTGGAGTCGTGCGGTTTGTTGATTAGGAGGAGGATGCGCGCCATGTGGTAGTGCTGCATTGTCGCGGAGCACATGGGCATGCAATGCCAGATTTCTGGGAGGAAAGACACGTCGGCGTCGGCATCGTCGACAGGTCGGTAGTGCGGGAGCGTGGACGGAGCAATCCGCGCGCAAGGGCGAAAGGTATCTGGGAGACCGTTGTGCCAGGCGTCGAGCTCCGCTTCGAGACGGTACCAGTGTTCTAGGAGGACTTGTTGGGAGATGCCAAGGGGGCCAGTGTCGATTGCGTTTTGGTTGAGGTGCACGTTGTCGCCGGCGCTGATGAAGTTAACGATTTTGGAGAGGATCCAGATGAGGGCATTGGAGATTAGGTCTTCTTTCATTACGTCGTTGCCTTCGGGGTAGCCGGCTGCGCTTGTGTTGCTGGGGCGTACGAAGCCCATGTTATCGAGTTGGAGGCCGGCTTCTGTCCAGAGGACAAGATCTTCGGTGTTTAACCTTGTGTGGCCCTCGTTGATGACTGGCTTGTTAGCTTTGTACAGGATTTCCTGAACGGCAACTTACGAGCTGCAAGATAATCCTGGCGTGCAAAGTTCCAGAATATCGCTTTCCTTGCTTTCGACAACCCCGATTTCTTCGGTGCCTGAAACGGATCAAGGGGATGCTGTTCCAATGGCAACACGCCAACCTCAGCAACGTCAAGCAGCGACTTAACCCCACTCAAATGCCTATTCCACGCCGGCGTGGCATCGAGAAACTCATAAACCGACAGAATCGCCGTGGCGGTCAACACCTCATCCGAATGAACCCCGTTCGAAAGACGACTACTCGTGTGGCGCCGTCGACGCTTGCGCGGGTTCTCATCATTATCCTCGCAAAGCTCGGCTGCCTGCCACTGTCCAAACGCCTCTGGTGTACTCAACGGTGGAGGCCCCTTATCAGGCTGCAACTCCTTCATCAAAAGCTGGATGGCCTTGTCATAATACTTCGCACCATACCAATACCAGTCTACATTTTGCATGTCCGGCCAGCTTTCCATCGCTGATTGTTTCGAAGTGACACCGCCTACAGGTGCTTTCGCGCCTTTAACCCGGCCCAGTTGTTTTGCGGAGAATGCGCATGCAGCATATTTCAGGAGAGGATTAGTGAGGGCTCTGATGGGGACATATGACGCGAAGTATGTCCCCAGGTCGAAGAGGTCCATCCTGCAAACGTTTGTTTGTAACCACCCATTATGGCTATCCCTGGAGACGAGACTTACCACAGGCCCGGCGCTTCTGCATAGTGTCTTAAGAGAAAGGCGACTTCGTGGTCGGATTCGGCGTGCACGCCGTTCGATTCTGCGGGTAGTCGCGATGCGTCTGATCTTGCGGATATTGAGGAGCTCCTGGCTGGTTGCTGGATACTCGGGTCGATAGGTGGAGATAACGAGTGAGACGGGTTGAGGAGAAAGTCGATATTGTTGTTATGGTTGGAGGTTGGATTCGACGAGATTGAGACCGGAGGCGAGGCATGCGGCGGGATCGAGCGCGTTCGGCCGGGAGAGGGTCCAGGAGAGATAGGTGGTGAAATGGCAGTAAAGGGAGAACTGTCCGATATGGACGGGTGAGTCTGATCACTTAAAGGAAACGAAAACCGATCGTGGGCAGCCGCCGTCGATAAAGCCTCCAAGCCTTGTACCTCTCCATCACGGATATCGCTATTCCCATTCCAATTTTGACTCTGCGCATTCGCAGCCAATATTGCGGCTTCGGACTCGTGCAGCGTCGCTTCGAGATCGTCGTTATACGGATCTGAGTTGTCGACGAAAACCACCTGCTTCGGGATATCCAGCCACACACTATCCTTGTCAAACGTGTTTTTATACGAATAAAATCCTCTCAGATTCCCGCGACCACTCGACGAAGCCTCCTCGGCATCCTTATTCATCGACGCATTCTGCTGATGTCGAAAGATAATGCCTTCGCTCGGTCGACACTCGCGGCTTCCTTTGCGACACTGCGAACACTGCGGTTTTTGCTCGTCGCCTGCACTATTAGCGCCGCAGTAGATTGTAGGCAAGAGTAGACGTACATTTTAATTTCCTAGCCCGACAGGTCAAGCTGTTTCGATTAGCCTCATTTTCTATGCTGGGTCCCACAGGTACTCACCAGCCTGTGCGCGATCGCATAGTACCGGGTAAAACTGACAACGGTTGAGCAGCGGCATCCGAGGCAGGGGAAGAATGCGATGGACGTAGATCAGCGGGCGCTGGTCTGGTGCGTATTACTGCATAGATGCTCTGGGAATAAGTGATGATGACGGATGCAAAATACGAGGACCACGGGGCTCCGATTAGAAAGCGGGGGATTCTTTCCTTCCCCAGTGAGCCGCTATGCGGGGAACCGGAGTAGTTACATGACTCTCTACAATCCATCATAGTAGGCTTTAACCCCAGATACAATATTGATGGCCATGCTGGACTATGCAAAAGTTTTCCCGGGGATCTTTTTCCAAATACAGTAAAAATGACAATCATCGAAGGGTGTCTGTTTCTTTCCCCAGTGAATGCCGAACCAATAGACATCTACTACTCCGTACAAGTCGTAACTTCAACATCTCTCTAGACATATTCGTCGAAGCTCTCTACTATCTACCATGCCTAGTTGGATCTCTTCATTTGCAGAGATTACTTCGATCAAGATAGATCAAACCACACTATATGCAGTTTGTGCGGCAGAAATGGGTGGGCTGTTCTCCCGAATCGACATAATGATGGAACACGAAATACCTGATGATACGACTCTGGTTGGAAAGGAAAGACAGGGCGCCTGCAAGGAACCTTTTCTGAGAGTCATGGGAGGTAAGTTGTACTACTACATCTGAGAGAAATATAACTGACAGAGCCACGACAGATATACTGACCTACCTATACAAGGTATCTTGAAGTTGAGATGTCTACCTTTGTCCACCAAGAGGTAACGGACTGAGTTATTGGTTGGGTCAATTCCATACGGCCTGGTTGATAGGAACGTGGAAGCAATGAACCTAGATAATTTCGACGGATACCCGTCTCGGTGAGTTCAAAGACCTAACAAGAAACACGATATGGCCATGATGTGATCTAGCTATCAAAGCAGCAAAAACCCTTCCCTGAAGAAAGCCATATCCCGGCGACAGGGCTTGGCCCACCATAAACGTGGAAGTTGGCTATGCCGAAACGAATGAAGATATCGTTTCTTTATGGCGCGAAACCTCTGCTGGTGGGCTCCTCTGGGAGAGTCGGGAACGTGGTCCGCTAATTAAATGAACCCTCTAGCGGCAGTACAAGAGACGATCGAAGGAAGCTATGTCGAAGTGCACAGATATGACCTAAATCAGTGAAGCCGCACATTGGTGTATCCCCAGTGACCGGATATGACCTACAGTTTCCCTTACTACGATTCACTCCATAACCCTAGATGTACCTCAAAAAAAAAAGACGGATTATGTTTCAAGGGACATGCGAGAATCGACGCCACAGAACCGTCTTGCACCGAGATAATAGCACAGGGAAACATGACACCGACACCCCCTAGCCTCTTTTCTATTTTCGTGGAGAGGATAACGTTCTATGACTTCGCGCTCGTAAGATAGCCATGGAAAAGAAGAGAAGTTAAAGCGCCAGGTATCTTCTTGACCAATATCCCCATTATCATCTGCTTACTTCTGTATATTCTCTATCCGGGCTAACTCATTCTCAGAAACTTACCCACTGCGTAAGTCGCTGGCCTGGAACACAAAGTCCATCTGTCGTGGTATTACATAGTCTGAGATCATCAATCCTCTGCCCCTTTATCTGGATAATCTGGCAGGTATCCTTGAGAAGAATAAGTTATCAAGCGGCTCGTGAAGCGTCCGTGGAAGCGACACTTGAAGAAGTGCATTGTACTGGAAACATGACATCGAGATCTCTCTTTGACCTTACTTTTCACGGAGGGAATAGCTTTTTTACAAAGTCCATACTTATGAAACCCATGAGAAAAAGTAAAGATGGGACAACGAAAGGTACATCTTATTATCATCTACCTCTGCATCACACGTTTACTTGAAGCTAACATCCCCAGACACTTTACCCCCCCCCCCCTTCCCCCCGGCCCAGTCTTGCGGTTTTGCCGGCCTGGAACAGAAGATCAACCCAGCTCAATTGGAATGACACAGTCCGTGAAAGCTCAGTCTTGTATATGAAGTTCACTTTCACTGAATAGCTTTAAGAGGCATATTCGAGAAAGGTGAGGGCTTAGAATGATAATCACATTGCAGATAATGCAGGCTCATTGCACGATAAAGGGACAAAGAAGCGAAATGAATGTCGGATGGGATACCTGTCTCTCTTTTCCTATCTTCCCAGCGAGCGAAAAACGAGATAGGAAGAAGTACGGAGCATTCAGCTTGCTAAGGATAATTGATGGATGCTGGGTACCAACGAAGATAAGGAGTGAATAGATGGCCAGGGACAGACCATGAAGGCATCGCTGTTCTCTGCATCATTTATTGTAGGTGTTAGAACCTTCATCCTATATAGCATCGATATAGCACATGGCAGACACATCTTCTCTTACTCGAACCGCAGGCCTCCATAAAAAAGAAACAAATGATCAAGGACAATCAGTGGATATGTGGTCGCCCTTGATGCAGAAGCCTAAGCTTCAATTTTAAATTATAAACCAGACCCTGGACGCTGTGCCTGTGGACAGCTGAGTCAGATGTGTTCCTAGAATGCATAAGTTAGGCGGCAAGGACCAGGCTGCAAGAATCATTTCCGGGAGAGGGACGGGACCTGGCGAGTACGGAAGGACACAAGGAAGCGGACGTGGTAAGTAGACTGGATAACTTCGAGGGAAGCTTTGCGTCTCAGTGGGTATGGGATCATAACAACACGATCAAGCCGGCTGGAATCAACTTTTCACCTTTAACCTTTCTTAAACACCAGCAGCAATATACTAACCTGAAACTAGCTTGCCTCGAAAATATCAGCGGTCCGAAAGTCAAGGGTCACGGTCCTGCCCTGAATGCCAGAGTGACATCCATTATGTGAACGACTGTTCGTCCCCGGCCGCTTCATTGCCGTGCTATTGTTGATAGATATCTGGCATCCTGCAAGGTTCCCCCATGTGTCGAATCCCAAACAAGTCTGAAAGTTTGGCTCAGACGCAAGGTCGTTCGCAAGCTCTTCTGCCCCAATGGAAATCACTGCCATTATGAGCATTGACTACCGGACGACTCGTACGCTTTCCACCCTTTCATTCACGCTGCGACAGATGATCGAGGGAAAAGAGTTGATGTATAATAATCCCACTCTGATCCTTTTCTCCTCTCCTGTCAACATACTTTTTCTGCTCGTATTTGAGATTCGTTCAATTTACGCGAGCAAAAGGAGTCAGGGTTAGAGTTGGATGTCGCAAGGTAACAAACTAACCCTAATCATCTTGCTTGCTTACTCAAAGCTAACATCCTTAGACCTGACTCTTGACCCAACCCCAGTGGGTCTGAAACAAACTATTCAGCTTGCATGGAATGGAATCCGGAAGGTCATTCTTTCTCTCACCTCCCACACCACTTCGTCGGATTACTTAAGGGATATTCTCGAGGAGAGGTGGTTAAGCGACACATTCACTGAATGAATGCCAAAAACCAGTGCATGCGCGAGAAGATAATATGTGGAAACATTTTGCCGACACCCGTCTGTCCCCTCTTCTACAGAGACAACGCAAGGTGATATTTTTGATAATACCATGGGAAAAAGAAATGCAGCAGTCGACAGGTACTTCCCATCCTCATAATAACCTATCCCTATATCACTGTATCACACATTTATTCCAAGCTAACCGACATCCACAGACATCATACCATACCCATAATCTTGCCGGTCTGGGCCACAAATCCAGCCCACCTGGAACGATATCGTCCGTGACACCCCGATTTTCAGTTCGACCTCGACAACCCCCATTCTCTTTATCTCGATTTAAACGGCTCAGGGATATCCTTAGGGGTCTACATGTCAAATGACGCCCCAAGACAACGCGCGCATGACAACCTCCAGCAGGCGTAGTGGAAAGCACCTGCTGTAATACTCTCTTCCTCTCCTCGCGAAGGGAACAGAATGTGGTGCGGAGTGTTTGGCTTGCTGTGGATCACATAAAGATTACCGGGAATGAATGGGGATAAGACATGAACAGACAACCAAGAGAGGGCCAAGGCGTTGCTGTTCCCGGCGCCTCTCAGGCAGATGTCGGTCGAGCGTTCATTTTATAGCATCGATATAGCATATAGCATATGTTATATGGTATATGGTATATGGTAACCAGAGAAACCAACATCTATGTACATCTTAGTTAAATATATCCCTAACGCAAGTTATGCTCCACTCTTACTCCTCTGAGACTACTATAAAGAACAAGAATAAGTGAATCTATATCCATCAACAACACACCATTATATTGTCATTACCGCGACTCGCGCAGGCTATGTACACAAATGTTCTCTTCCCGTGGTTCAATCCAGTGAGTACACAATAACCACGGACAGCATATTCACAACGATGAGACAGACGAGTCGATGCACAAGAACACGCAGATAAACAACATCCAAAAGGGCAAATAAAACCGAGTAAAGGGGGTCTGAGAAAAATAGACCGGGAGAATAGAATAATAAACAGATAAGATGGCAACAGATGGCGAAAAATGACAAGGTAGGGTAACGCAAGGCAGGTAATAAACACTAATAAGGGTATAAACAGCAACAGCGGCTCCCAGGAACGCCATGGTCAGGTCAGTATGTAACAAGAGCGTCGGCTATATTCTTTTTTTCTTTCTTTTTCATTGAGTAACGAGAAATTTCCTCGGCGGCTATATCGCCGGCGCAGGGCTTCGTTGACCCAAGGTGTTAAACAAGTACTCCGGGGGCAAACGCTGCATGTTGGGTTGCCGGTCTGTGCCAGCAGCCTGAGGTGCACGCATGTAGCCCTGGCGACGGCGCTGGATCTTGTTGAGGATGATACCGGCGATGACGATTAGGAAGATGCAGCCGAGGGCGCAGCAGAAGGAGACCAGGACGACGATTCCGTTGGTGTGGCCCTTCTCTATACAAAGGGTTAGCAAGTGTTATTTTCCTATGTAAAAGGGGGAAGATGACGCACCCTCTCTGGCATAC